TGGGACGTCCAAGGGTGACATGGAGATCGTGTGAAGAAGAGTTGAAACAGTATGGACTAACATGGATGCAGGTGAAAAGTACAGCAGAAGACAGAAACAAGTGGAGACGTGTAGTTGAAGCCCTATGTTCCACTAGGAACCCAAGGGAACAATAATAATAATATATAATAAATCAATGGCTGGAAACCTTCTCGTCTCTTGCGATCAGTATCAGTCACCGAAAAGTGAACAATGTATAGTAGTCTCTTACTGTAACTGGTGTTTCACGATAAATTCACTTACTGAAATGCAACATTCCATATACTTAAAAACCCATTACTACACTTGATAAATAATTACACGGCGGTAGTATGGAAAAAAACATCTGTTGAATTGTGAAAGAAAAATAAAAGGTTCAGGACGATGAGGTCAAAACGTGGGAGTAGTCCGTAGAGTCTTGAAATATTAATCTGAGTTATTTGACGGGTTGAGAGTTACCTAGTTGGGAATGTCAAGACTTTCACTCAATGGAGAATATGAGACGCGGTTCGAAAGTGATCACAGTGATGCAGACACATCTAATCTTAATCAGCCCTCAACAACTGCACTTCACGTATTGTCCTCTTATATAGTTTTTCTTTCATTATACTACCACTAAATCCTTATTCCCTCGTTTTTAGGACAATTATTAAATGTGGCAACTCAGATATTTTTCTACGGAGGTCTAGTGATGATATCATTCCATCTACTAGGTAACAACACGTTCGAAATTCACCTTTGGCATCATTCGGCCCGTATCACATTTCACAACAGTGAACTACGTATCACTCCGTAACACAATGCACAGTAACCATAGAGACCCATTGGTAAGATCTAAAAACACTAATAGGGCACAGACGTTTTTAATTTAGTGGACAGAAAATGATTACCACAGAAGTTACAAAACGATTACTTGTTACCCACGTAGGATCATAGGTATTATGTCAAGGAAAAACTTGCACCGAATAAAAGAAGGAAGAAAAGAAATATACGCGTAAACAATACTAAACAACTTTCAATTTACAAACCTGATGATATCCAAAATCTTCTTACTATGGAATTCAGAAACCAAGGAATAAATTGCGGAAAAACATTACAACGGCATCAAATCCAAAGCATATCACATCCAAGTAATAAAAACCTGGAATAAACAAAAAGTTATAAAGAAGGATAAAGAATAGTAGCATAATGATATCATTATTAAGTACTGAATCGTACAGCAACGATGCTGACAGTAATTTCGTGCTCCGTTTCAGTGAGGAAATTATCACCCATGCACTGAAGTTACCACCCATAAAACTTTGAGCGTACGACCTCCTAAAACATTTCAACATATTTCCCCATTATTCCAGTATTTTCAACGATTTGTCATCTCAGATAAATTATCCGGTCCTTACAATACGTTTAAGGTACAAAATCCACAACTAGAGAGCATTCCTATTTAGATATATCTCGAAGATTCACTTCAAAGTTAACAAAGAGGGAAACATTTATGCTACGACCATTAACCTAGGACACACCATCTATTTTCATAAATCCACCAAAACCACCAAGGTCAAATGATCTCAGAACCCTAGAAGGCGTTCTGGCGCCAAATTGTTGTTGTGAAAATGAGAAATTTAGATTCACAGTCAGCTTACGTCTTAGCAGTTAAGAGAAAATGATCTGCTGAAAAACCATGTTCTTCTTTTTACTTCACAAAAGAATAGCATGAAAGAAGTGATTGTATGTGAACAGTTATTGTACACCAGTTTTCAGTTTCTCCGTTGGTACGATATAAGCTTAACATCATTCTGAAAGATAAAGTTTAAAAAATTTAACTACATGTTTATGTGCAGAATTACAGGCTAATAAGCTGGATAGTGGTAGATCGGAGGGCGAAACAGACCATCACTACTACTGTGAAATCAATTCGGAAATCTGTTAAACTCAGAATGATGACCAAGATTCGGATTCTCAGCACTAGTATCAAGTCGGTGTTTCTGAAGTGGTTCAGACATCTGGTACGGCAAGCATTTCCAACAAGCTATTTACCTTCACTAACAGTTGCCTCGACTCAATCAGATAGTTGATCAGAAAGAATACGTAACAGGGATCATTGACAGTCTATCAAAACAACCAATAAAGTATCGTCCAACAAATACGCCGAGGAGAAATCGCCGAGTGAAATCACGTGCAAGGCATTGGAGTGGAACCCGAACAAACAACAACGAATCTGGCGCCAAAAACAGATATACGGAAGATCGTTTGAGGAGGAGGAGAGAGCCCATTGCAATCAGGGTGCAGTCTATAGAGGACTAAAAAGAACAGGATGAAAATTGCGGTGTACTAATGAAGCCCCATATTCCGCTCGGAATTCAAGGGAATAACAACAGTACGTTTCATTAAGTTCAGTTTTGCATCTGCGTCTGACTTTGCTGACACAGCAACACATTTTCTAAGCAAATGTTGAATTTTTTCTAGCTCTAAGTTATTCTCACCGATTTTGATGTAAATGAGCTTCCTCAATAAATTCACAACTTATGTGAATACCCTTTTGTATGTTTCCAACAATCTTGAACTTTCAGCATCCTGTCTTTGATTGTACTGGTTTATGGATGCATGTAATAGAAGTTCAAACTTCTATGCGTTTTCCATTCTGCCCTGTTTTTCAGGTAAATACTTTCGCCCTCAGAAAGATGAATTTAACTTGTGACAATTCCTCGATGGGCGTATCACGATGAGCTCAAGAGAACGAAGATTAACTGTGTATCATGAAGTTTTCTTTCAGAATACTCAGTGGTGAGTTTCATATAAACAGGATCAATTCATAGTAATTAGCGAGAAACTCGTTCACTGGGTAGGTGACAGTCGACTGCGATATTCCGGCATTCATGAATATCATGGGTTTTAATCGCAATACGGATGGACCAACTTTACTAACAAGAAATAAGTATTTCTAAAGCTACTGTTTCTTATTTCAATGGAACGTTCCAGTACCAAGAAAAGGTAGCCTGAGACGGTAAGAAGCTGCAAATAAATTGATAGAAGGAACATCCTCACAAAATGAGGGATGAGATATTGGACTTCCAATTGCGGAAGACTGTATCGTGAGCTTCAGACAGCATTTCAATAATCTGTAGTGAAATGAACAACGACCACTCTCTGTTAGCTACTTCGTATGTAGTGCGTAAATCATTAGTAGTCTAAGAGGTGAATGAATGCATATCAAGCTACCCCTTCCCCAATTTTGGAGCACAAGTTCAGGCATTAAGCTGATTACTTAGTTTCATTTCGGTAATTCCAACTCCAGTCGAAGACTGAGGTCTGGTATCTTTCGGTAAACTAGTAACTCCGGAAATTGGAGAAGGGCTGTTACCAAAGGCACACACTGACCTGTAAAACACCAAACTCTCCTGAATTCAGAACACTGTTTGTGCATATAATTATCAACTCAGCATCAACACGAGAAATACAAAAAGACAAATGGGCATGTAAGAGATTTATGAACAACAGGCCAATAAAGTAAAGCTAATTATGCGGCGGTTTGATCAGTTAGTTCACATTTAGTTACACTAAAAGTCCAGGAAAATCCACAAACAAACTGCTATGTTATGTATGTCGATACTTCTGATTATATCGCTCTGGCTCTCTATCCACGAAGAAAGCGTCACAGCCAGGATATTCATTGTAGGACCAAGTTTGCTTACAGATATTTGTCCCCACTAGCAGCACTGGTGATGCACTGTCTAGCCTTGATTTCAGTTAGAACTCAGGTGACTCAACACAAACGTAAATGTTTCTGATATATACAGGAGTGATTAAAATAACACAAAGATAACAATACAAAGGCAACGTTCTTCAAGGAAAGAAAAAGACATACCAAACAGTATGGGTGTATGGAACCAAGTGGTTAGTGAATTACAGTGACGTACATATAAGAAACAGAATACAATACTCATCCAGTGTCAACCACCAGTGGCTGGAGTTTACATTAAAAGAACCAGTGACCACATGATAATAACGAGAGGTGAGTTCAGGTCATACAGACGGGTGGACTGTCATAATGTTTGTCTGTTACGATTGACAGCGATTGCTGCCCCAAACGAATAGTGGTCTAGTTCGAGTAGCTATGGCCAAAAGACACCCATTCTATGTCCACTAATATTGACATAGCTTATGTGAAGTCGATCTGTTGCACACAGAGACAGGAAAACATCTAATGTTACTTCCGACTGACAGTTTGACGGAAATGCTAACTATTCATTAGACGCAGCCAAAGTCACTGATGTAACACATTCAATGCATGGATATCTTAGAGCTTCTACTTCCGTGCTCTTTGTACAGGTGTATAGAACATGCGTGTGGCAACAACTAGAGACTTGAGCGTTACTCCCGTACTATCACCAACAACAAAATGAGTTACAAACCTCCCGTAAACGGTACAAAGGAGAGATACAAAATCTGTCATCTGGCTGAAATGTCGAAAGTGTGATCTACTAAGACAGCAGGATATCTACACCCCCAGCAACCGAATAGCGAGGGATGACCTCATCATGGCGTGCAACGGTGCATGGGCCAATGCACCAGTTCGGAACGTTGTACCAGAATGGTACCTTGGTATACTTTTGTGCAACCTTAACTGAATTACGCACTAAAAGGCAGAAAAAACGTTGTTTTTGCCCTATTTAAATTCATCAAGGGGAATAAATGCATGCAGATGATTTATTTCCCCTGATGGTTCATCAACCCAAAAAAGTTATTGCCTCCTTAAATGGGCACCGCTCTGTCAGTCGATAGCGTTAAGAGAAGTCTAGACCATTATACAAACACAACGCGTGTGAAGTCACCTGTTGAGAAAGTAAACTAGCTCTGGACGACTGAGCTGCCACTACTAATATACGCTTATTAGATTTTGGCAGTGATTTCCACTGCCTTATTATATTCTTCACTATTACCTCAATCACTACTACTCACACTTTTTTTTCATGTTTACTATTTGCGCATACACTCCTACTGTTTGACCTTGGTGGTTTTGGTGGATTTATGAAAATAGATGGTGTGTCCTAGGTTAATGGTCGTAGCATAAATGTTTCCCTCTTTGTTAACTTTGAAGTGAATCTTCGAGATATATCTAAATAGGAATGCTCTCTAGTTGTGGATTTTGTACCTTAAACGTATTGTAAGGACCGGATAATTTATCTGAGATGACAAATCGTTGAAAATACTGGAATAATGGGGAAATATGTTGAAATGTTTTAGGAGGTCGTACGCTCAAAGTTTTATGGGTGGTAACTTCAGTGCATGGGTGATAATTTCCTCACTGAAACGGAGCACGAAATTACTGTCAGCATCGTTGCTGTACGATTCAGTACTTAATAATGATATCATTATGATACTATAACAAATTGTGGGCATTCAACAGACCTCAATCCATAGCTGATGCTCACTTACGCCATAACTTAAACTGGAAAGTTCCAATAGTCCAACGCATTTTTCGTTTGAGTTCTTCCTATACTGATATAGAGGAAACTCAATCGAGACAATTTTCAGGATCATTTCAAATACATGGGGCCTGTTACTGACCAAGAAGAATGAAGACTTTCAAAATCGTTAGTTCAATGACGCGAGTGAGCCTTATGAGTATTATCCGTGCATAAATCTTGGGAAGGCAGTGGATTTAAATATCGTTTCCCCGAGTCTGTTGAAATGCATCGGTATCATATACTAAGTTGGGACTAGCTTGTTTCCTTTTTTATTCACCTTTAAGCAGAAAAGGTTTTTTCAGCATTATTTCTGGTGTGCCATCTGTTTTTGTTCTGTGCCACAAGTCATTAAGTCGGTAGATAAACGCCTTTTTTCATAAGTTTAAAATCAGTCCACTTCTCGCATTCACATTGGTAACGGCGAAGTGATATTCGACGGTCATTCGGAATGTATACTATCCAGTGGAATTTCTTTTTTGTTGGAGCCATTGTCGTCGAATGATTCTTAGGCACAAGCTCATCACCATCTGCTATTTTTCCCTGCGCAGTGACTCCTCGTCACACTACATCATTGTTTCGTTCGTATTATTATTAGCTAATAGTTAATTAAAGGGTAAAAGAAAGGTATCTGGATATTTATTTGAAGATTTCTTTTCATAAATGTGATCGGTTACCCATAATTCTTTCTGGAATTAAATTTCGATAAAGTGAAATAAATCATGTTATAAAACTGTGATTGGTGATAATTGAATAAAATTGTGGTTTTTTTGATAAGATGAATTTTTATACACTTAGAAATTCGCGGTCGGTAGTTGCGTTTCTTGAAAGATGTCTAAATAATCTTTTTATTCACTGATTTACCGTACTCTATTCACTATTTCTTTTAGTTGTTGCTTGTAAATTTCTAAACTATATATATGTGTATTTCAGCTTTGCATTGTCTCAGAGAGTTTAGTGCCAATTTAAGTAGCCTATATATATATATATTTCCTGGTGTGACTTTTTGTGCAGTTCACTTAGTTTTATAAGTTGTTTTTCTTAGATGCAGAAATCAACTCACATAAAATATTTATTTTTACAGCAACCTGAGTTACATTTGAAGAAACTGCTTAGGTTATCCGAATAATAAGTCAAAGCAGTGGGGTTTTGTTTCTGAATGTATATTTGCAAAATCAAATACATGTGTACCGTTTTTTGGCCCTTAAATTTCATCGAGGACATAAAGATACAGAGCGAGCATTCAAGCCCCCTTGCGTCGGTGGCACAGCAGTTAAGACGCTCGCCGACCAGTCACATGGTCTGGGGTTCGATCCCCGATCGACGCACGCCCGATATCAATGGTCGGCCTACTAAATTTGGGCTACCGATAGCAAATGCTGAAAATTCCATAGTTGTACTTTATGGAATCAAGCTATAATAAAAATATATATAATTCGCCAACAATTTCATTTGTTTGAAAATTCCCATTGTAATTCAAAACACTGACTTACCAACAAAAAGTGTGTCTTTTGACAACTTTTTTTGATTCCTACAGTTATATGTCCACATCATTTGACGAGTAGTTATTAGGGTATCAGCACTGGTTTTGCAAAGCAAAATCATTGAAAAATTAGAACTTTACTCCAGTTGTCCTTATTCTTAAGGGCTAGCATTAGTGATGATAGGAGAAATTTGAACAGTAGCTACTTATTTAGTATCATATTATGTGTCTTAATGAAATGAAAAGTGTCACCTGTCTGCAAATAACGAAAGTGAGAATATCCAAGTAATTTGTGATCGCAATAAATTTCAGAACATATGTGTATATGATAGACATAAATATGATGCATAGTTGTCCATCAGATATCTTTCAGAGTTCTATATAAATTAACCGATCACAAACGACAATGAATATATATCATTGGATGCTGCTGATTAATGCTTGAAGTGAATTTTATTCGACCTGATTGTCAGGCTCGTATTAATGAATATTAACATGTATAAAGAGGATATAATCTGCACTTAAATGACTATATATATCTGTTGGTATGTGAATGTGGGATTAGATGAGCATAGTTTAGGAAAATTTTATACATATAAACGTGAGTAAATCAGATAAATTTCACGTATAACATAATTGATGAGCAGACATATACTTACAAGATGGAAATTTACTTCTCATGTGTAACGTAATAGGATGCTTAGGATTTCATAAACTCCATATCTTCCGTATGCATATTTCTGTGGAGTGTTGTGTTTCCTGCTCTCTGGAGTACCCATGATAGGTAGTGGAAAGTGACAGGCCAATACCTGCTTCGTAGCGTGTTTGAACCACGCTATTAGTGTTTTCATTATGTTGTGGTAAGTGTCCCCAAAGAAGAAAAATGAAATGCTTGATGTATATAACTCCTAGTTGGTTGGAACTCAATTAGTTGGAACATATTTCTGATGTCCCAGGCTGTCACACTTTATTGTGTAAGATAATTACATCATCTTGCCTAGGTTAAAGTAGGTGGAGAGGGGTTCGGACCCGAGACCCAGTAGCTAGAAGCCAATTGGTATCGTCACCACACAGCTTTACTGGAGATAGGTACTAGCCATTGTGTTATTCTGTTTTGTATATCTGTTTAATGGTGACTTTGCGCTATAGTGTTTTTTTTACATTTCCTCTTGTCAGGTAGTAAAGGACTGATTCATCCGAAGGATTTTTATGCTTAAAACATTTTTCCGTAGCATTTTAACTATGGACAATCGGCTTAAAATTAGTCGTAAGTGTGGATAATTATATCCGTTAATTATTTGTGTATCACTTAGATATGAGAATTCCTTACAGAAGGTCAACTGATATCTTCGACATTATAAATCTGAACCAAAAGGATCCATTACTTTTGTTCAAGTCGTGGTTTGAAGAAGCTGTTGAATGTGGACAGGTTTTTGAACCTAATGCCATGGCTCTTGCAACATGCAGCAAGTATGTTGCCAAATTTTTTATACATTTAATACGTCCCAGTTGCGAATATCATATGTTTTTAATGTACTCAGTATCTGATTGATGATTACTTTCTTTTGTTAGTATCATCATTAAGGTTTCGCATTGACTGGTGAAGTTTTGTCATGATTGAAAAGTTATGTTAAGTATGACTGACAGGTACTTTAGGAATTAACTAGTAACATTTGGTCAGTAAGTTTTATGTGTGTGTTTGATGCATGTATTAGCCCACATTCATAAGATTCGATCTTCGCAACGACCTTCAACACTGATGATGACTAAAACCAAAGAGATGACGAAAGCACCATTAATAGGTAATACTCGTCAGCTGCTTAGACTTATTAAAGAAGCTGGTTCTAACGAACCTATGGTAAGTGAAGTAGTCTGCAAGAAGGATCAAACTGCTCAGAAGAGACGACTGAAAAGTTGAGGAAAACACTTTGTAGGACAGTTCAACTGACCTGGTAGTATGCTGCAGTTGTCCACAAGCTAACCCTTATGCGGATCATATGGAGCTGAAATTGCAAAAGCTGTATCTAATCTAAAACCAGATAAATCAACAGGACCTGATTCCAGATATGTTTAAGGATAATGGTTACTGACTGACTAGAATAAGGAAGGTATTAGCAAGCGTACGGAATTGCGAGGTAGTTCTAATGAGTTACTGTAGGTCGCTTTTGAATGTAGTCTGAAAAACAGGAAAGAAATCTTTCTGTGATAATTAAATGTAACGAAAATTCTGGGCTCTAGTTCTGTAAGAACCATATAGAGCCCAGCAAAAACAAACGCGAGTAAATTAAACAGATAGATTCCTAAACATATACTTTTTGACCTGAAGGCATAGTTGGACTCCATGATTCTAGAGGTGCTGTAGCAATTTGTGAATAGTATATTGTACTAATCAAGACATTCTGCTTGAATCCAAGCCGCCGTGTAAGAATGTCTTTGGAGAGTTGTTTTATGAAACGATGATAGCTTGTGGGGTTCCTTCAGGATCGCTAAGTGTCACTATTTGTTGATGTGCAGTATTGGTGACCCCGGCAGACTTTGCTGTCTCGGGGACTGACTCGTTACCAAGAGTGATTCTGGTTGATCTAGAGTATATAGGTGATATATTCCTTCTGGAAGGCGCTTAAAAATGCAGAGACTTCTTAAAATCTTATACAAAACTGTCAGTATGTTTAGCATGAGAATCGCCCCTGTCAAACCAAATACAAAACTGCGTGGCTGGTCTGCGTCAAATCATCGTTTAAATATACACAGTGTTACGGTTGAATGTGTTGACCACCTCAATTATTTGTGGAGTTGTTTCAGTTTTAATGGACTGTTTGCTGTAGTCTGTTTGCTTGAGATCCTCTGGATACTAAGAAGCAATGATTAGATTCGGCTAGTGAAATGGCCCAAAATCGTTTAGAAAGGCACAAATTTGTCAACTCCTTATTATCATACATACTCTGATAGCCGTCACTAATTTTCATTTAATTATTCTCTCCTACATATCTTTGCCTGTTTTAGTTTCACGAGATTTCTTTTCTCTACGTTAACATCTGCTCTTCTAAAGTATGGTGACCCGAGCTGGTGCACTTTTGAGAAAATTCAGTCGATTATTTAGGTATTTCTGGTTGGGATAAGCTTTCTAAACCACTACGGAAACGTTTGCCACTATTAATGGTGATTTAAAAGATCCATTAGGAAATTACTCATCTTTCATTGTTGACAACTGGTTCTGTTGTGCTACTTGGTTACCATAGCAATTTTTCAAGCTCAAAATCCGTAACAACGAAAATCACTCCTATTTCCTTAAATCCTATGAGGATTAGGCATTGGGTTATATAGGTTCCAATAACAGTATCTATTCTTGTGAGTTAGCGTTAGTAATTTCATGCTGTTCACGTAAATAATCAGCTAGCAAAAGAATAATAATAATAATAGCTTTATTCCAAACAGTATTTGTGGTACAGGTATGGAATTTTCAGCGTTCATTACAATATTGCATCTAATTACCTCATAAATTTTATAAGAATTTAAAAATAAAAGCAACAACAATAAAAGAAAAAAAAGAGAAATAGAAGAAATAAAAAAGAACAGTATTGCGTTCACATATTTAAACAATACAGCACAGGATATGATATATAAAATCAGTCTGTAATAGAATATATGAGCAACAATATAATAGTAACAAAGGAGAAGGATCCTTACAACGTGTATCCTGGTAAATAGTTGCTACGTTGACGTGACAGTCGGATTTGCTTATACCAATGACCCAATGAATTACACTGGCTGGAATGAATATTTCTGCAGGTCCTTCCATGTTATAAAAGTCTCTTGGAAAACAGTTAAACTAAAAGCGCCTGCCATCATAGTCTAGTTCGTTTACATTATCTTGGTGAGGAGTCTGAGGGCAAAGTGATACTGCAGGAAAGTGTTTCCCTTGCATTACCGGCAAGTCAGCTATACTGTTTCATTGCCCTAAGAAGGGGTTAGAGAAGACCAACCATCAAAACTGTATATCCTGTCGTGCCCTGCGGTAGTCTGTAGCTGACGATAAAGTTTTCACATGGGCACACGCCAAAATCTCTTCAAACGGGCGGTGTACTCAGTCTCAAGCTGTTGTTTTCTGGACTTCGCAGTCACGCAACAGTAATACTGCTACCTTTTCATGTATTGTTAAAAGAAACCAACTCCCACGGTGTAATGACCTCCCATATTTTTCTATAAGCACACGAGAATTTCCTAATCATTACCCACCTTCATCTTCTTGCCTTCCTCCTACTATTAGTAATTTTCCAAAGGTAGGTTCTCCATCTTTCTCTTAACTCTGTGACCACGAGTAGCTAATTGAACCCGAAAAACACTGCTGATGGTGTCTTGAAACCACATTATCAACTTAACCATCGACGAACTAAATGAAGAATGTAATAGACTTCAATCTTCTTACTGGACTCGTGCTAATACTATTACTTCGTATTATTTTTGTTCGCCAGCGTAGAGCAGTATTAATTTATTTTGAATAAACTAAACGTCTTGATTTCGTAATTGTTTTTTTATTATGTTAATGAGTAACTAGTGCTATAGCTTGCTGATTTTTGTTTTTGTTTCTATTAGAGAGTGTATTCCGAGTGTACGATTTGTTCTTTTAAAAGAGCTAGATGAAAATGGATTCCATTTTTTCACCAACTATGACAGTAGAAAGGCTCAAGAGCTTGATAGCAACCCACATGCAAGTCTACTATTCTACTGGGAATTTCTTAAACGTCAGGTAAGAAAAAAGGCGGCTAACTGTAAACTTCTTGAGAAAATAGTATTCATTATTTATCGTAACTGAATGTATACTATATCTCTCAAGAAATTAATTATTTATGTTTTGTGGATAATATTTATGTCATTTAATTAAAAATAGAACAATAGTTTGTGGTTTACACATGGAAAATTAGTTTTTATTTGTCACGTTGTGAGGATATTTGTCCTTTCGCAGAAGTCTCATTCACAATTAGATTCATTGCACAAGCATCCTTTTCAAAAGTTTTCTAAGAAATGCGGATGATATCCGCTAAGTGTTTATTCACTTCATTCCATCTCAATTCTAAATGAAATGAATAATGTATCACTGAATGAATATATCCAGTATAAGAGGAGAATGTTTCCTTGTCTTTCCTCGACATATTGATTATTCTAGGGCAAGATTGATCGTTTGAACAGTCCATTCATGCAAAGTTAACATGGGCGAAATGCTATCTATATCATTATAATTTATTTCTACGCCAGTAGAAGTGAATCACGCCGACTTCTGTCATCTAATTCTCGAAGAAGTGAATGTGATTTATTTCTTTTACAATGAACCACTGCAGCATATCATTTGACTCAGTGTTACTCCAGATGAACACAAATTCAATTCTTTACGATATTTCTCCTTCAAGAACTGTACAGCTATTTGTTGAAAGCTAATTAAAAATATGCACGAGTCCATGTAATGACCAATCTATAGAATTGTATGATTGAAACAAAATATGCAGAAGAGGTTAAGCATTATGATCGATAAAAGTTTTTACTAGCTCAGTGTTTTAAGTAGGCCGCCGAAGATTCTATGTACATAAGCTTTGTATCGTTGTTTTACAAAAACATTGGAATGTCATATGAAAGAGTTAGCTTTTAGTATAGAGACTTTCCTGCTTGCATTCGAGTACTTTCCTGATATGAAAATATGCCAGTTTGAATAGCTTTTCACGTCTCATTCAAAGTTGTTGATGACTGTGCAATGTTAATGACACATTCTTTTTCCTAAATGGATACAATTAGACTACTGAAATAACTGTATCAGTTGTTATAAATCCCAACCGACAAAAAGTTGTTTGTCTTACAGTTCATTTTCTTTCTGTTACTCGAAAACTTAAAATATGTACGTTTGAAAGTCATTCATATTATTGCTAGTATTAATTTCTCATGTTTGAGGATACGTTTCCATTTATTATAACCTTAAATCACACATTTAACCATAATTATTAACGATTAAATTTACTAACTTTATCGATTTTATGGATTCTATTGATTTGATTAGACAAGGAATTGTAGTTTACCTAATACCATGAGGTGATTATCAGGTCAAGTATAAATTTTTAGCTGTCTGATTTAGGTCAAGGACGTTATGACAACAATATAATTTAAACAAATGTAGAATAATACATTCCAGGGTAGAACAACGCAATTATTTCTCTGTTTGCACTGAAACACATCCACACAAGATCTATATGAGTAGATGAAAGGAGTTGTTGAACACTTTGAATGAATTTCTCACACGCAATAATACTGTTGTAATATCTATCCTGAAGTTATTATAAGTAACATGCTGTGTTTGAAAAGTAACCTACCAGTTATATTTTATCAATGTTTACCGTGTTAAACGAATTAACTTATCATTAAATTAAGCCTTACCTTAACGTTTAACTTCTGTGTTGTTATGATTGAAGTATAATTAATGCCCTTATGCTCTTGTTTCTGATTTAGGTACGCATAGAAGGTACAGTCTCACGTTGTTCAAATACAGAAAGTGAAGAATACTTTCAAAGTCGTCCAAAAGTCAGTCAAATTTCTGCAACAGTTAGTCAACAAAGTCAAATTATACCAAGTCGTGAAGTAAGAATTTCTTTCTTTCATACATTAATTTGCCTTTCAAAATGTATAAATTCGCATAGGCTTAATTAACAATCTTATACAAGATATTTTTCTTTGATTGGACACTAGTAACTAGTGTGATGTGTCTAGTCCTTTCTTTGGTGCAGACTGAATTCTGTCAGTCAGGTTTGCAATGTAGCCAGCATTCTAGGTAGCTCGCCATCACGGTGCACATTGATTTGATGATATTAGATGGTTGGAGGCAATTGGCAGGAAGCCTTGGACACCTAGGTTTCGTGCTAGTTGGCATTCACCAGTCAGCAAGGCGTATCTGCAACCTTGAAGGAACTCATGTTCCTTCTGAGATTCGAACCCGCATCACACAGTGCTGCAGTCAGAGACGTTACCACTGAGCTATTCGGCCTCGCGATTGATCTCCTGTAGGACTGTAGTGGATACTTTGAATAATTCAAAAAGGCATATTCCGCAAAAATTGCAATTTTCAAGTATTGGTTTTGTAGGGATTTTGTTTGATTGGTTGGAGGATTTCATCATGAGCTGACATCTGTTAGAGAACCATTGGAAAATCTGCAGGATGTATTAAACAGCTGTTTCGTTCTAGTTTGGTACTCTTCATCAGTACGTACCGGGCGAAGTGTAATGATGATACTAAACAGGCTATCTACTTAAATTTTAGTTTAGGTTAGGGAAAGATTAAGGTTGGTTTTAGGTTAACCCAATTTGGGCAATATTAGGGGTAAATTAGGGTTGGTTTGTGTATAAATTATGGTCATGGTTGAGTTAAGGGACAGAGTTAACTTTTTAGCGCAATTATTCATTCCAAGATAAGTGGTGCCTTCGATCCTCTTGGGTGTCTAAATTCGAAGCTCTCCACGACTTTTCTTATTCTACTGCATTATTTAATTATATTATTTATGTAGATTTCTTACTAAGTCACAACTCTACTAGAGGTGGTATTATTTCTTTCAAGCGTTGTGTTTACGAAAATGTAGACTGCCAGAATGACGTATTCGAGTTAGCAGTTATTGAAGATAGCCTTTCCTGACAGATATTTGAAACCAGTCCATATGTGGCTTCACATACTTTGATTTAAGGACGTGGAACTTGATACAATACGGTTTGAATTTCTAGTTTCACTATCAGAAGAGAAGTAATCAGTAAAGCTGAACGGTTCACCTGTGACAATGTTCAAGAGGAAACAAAGCTAAAAGTCTAAGTAATTTAAGGTCTTAATGTCAGTAAAAGGGTTTGAACATTGTGGAATAGATCAAGTAAATTGTAATTATATTTTAATAGTTTACACATAATGGCAGGTTTTTTGTTTTGGGGAAGAGAATGCACTTAAACCATTGATATGTGGGTGACACGTTAGTAATAATGAAAAATGATATTGATAAATTCTTCTCATACATAAACAGTCATGTGAACTCCATAAAATTCACTATGGAAGTAGGGAATGAAATTGAGGAACTGCCTGTGTTAGACTGCAAAGCACAAAGAGTAACAGATAGCAGCATAAAAACGACGTTATATATAGGGAAACGACATATTCTGGGAAATTCCTTGATTATCACTCAGCTCATCCACTCACGGTAAAACGAGGGTTAATACAAGGTCTTACAAACAGAATACATAGACTTACAACAACACCAGATGGTCAACGAAAAGAAATAATTATCTTATTAGAAATACTATACGACAACAACTACACAAAAGAATTTATCAGAGATAATATATATATATATATATATACATATATATATATATATATATATAATTTTCCCCTAATTAGCCTGATTTCCCCCTTATTCGCTTTACGTCAACCAATTAGCAGCCGTCCTGCTAATGGGATTAATCTTCAGACTGCTGCTTTCTAATTGTGGCGCATGTTCTCGTAAACAGAAACGTGGTTGCAGATAAAAAAAACTGGCGATCGCCATTAAAATAAAGGTTCATAATGGAAAAGAAATATATTTCAGTTGTTTAAAAGGAAAAGGAAAAAATTCAACAACGGCTATGCAGATTAATTAATTAGGATTAATGAACACCTAGAATTGCAAATATTACACACAAGTAGAATAATTGTCTTTTAACATGAAGGCGTTTAAACGCCTTACTAAAGGTTATCCCACAAGAACACAAGCTTACTATAATTTAGAAAAAAATTGTCTATGACTGCCCATGCATGGGACAAAACCACAACAATGATTGGAATAATGTTTGTATTCTGAAATCTAATATGAACGAATGGTAGTTGCTTCAAAAGATCACACAAATCATTTTGCAACACCCTGAGTTTTCTATTATCTAATAAATACCCCACCCATAAAGAAGGAGATGGTGGTCAGTGTGATGCTTAACTCCATTGACTGTAATTTTTACATGATCCAGTTGCAGCATCTGAGGATATTATTTCTACCCGAATATTAGGCTTCAATCAGGTACTGTTACCTAGTACTATAGACTAGCGTAAAGAGCAAATATTTTCTGTTGAACTTTGTTACAAGTAGTTAACTTGTTTTCTAATCAAGGAACTAATTAATTTAGTAACCCAGGTGTTGGATATTGCATTATTTCATGATGATATTCACTACTAATTGATAATTTAAGTAGTTGCAAACTATTCAAAACAATCAGTTGTGTTTGCTAACCAGATTGAAGTGATATTGCGTTGAAGATAATAATGACTAGTATTTAATTGAAAGTCTTGCCATCAATATCCACAGCCTAGAATACAATATATATTGTTAAATATTCAGAGTTATGAATTTTGTTTTCCTTTTTTCTTTCAAATAGTTCTTGGATAAGAAATATTCAGAACTTGAAAATAAATACGCTGATCAAGATAAACTCCCAAAACCTTCAAACTGGTAAGTGTTGATATGATATTGTAGAGAGCTGATCACTTCCAGCAGTTCTATGTGATGTATCGGGGAAATGTTTACTAACATTTATTGCGTTGAGCTGTAAATCTTAACAGTGTAGAATTGTTATTGTCTTGGTTTAATTCTGATAAATGGGACACGGGCACCAATACCATATGATACGAAAGGTTCAGTTTGGGAACTTTATGCCTAGTTCACAATGGCTTTATCATTCTGTCGATCTAGAAGTCATAAATTCAAGATCTATATAATTTTGGCTCATTTCATCTAGTTTTGATAATTAGAATTTAGTTATTACGACCTGAAGTTCTAGTGGGAAGCCGTGACCAGTAGGGTAAAGCAGGTTGAAGATGAGGCAGTAAATCATCGAAGAAGACATTGCGAAATGGTCGCGCTATGTCGTGAATTGGCAGAAGTTAGAGTTCATGGACTGGTCATTGGATCGGGTCCCAGTGACTCAATGGTCTACGAGCTCGCCTTGTAACCAGAAGGTCTTGGTTTCGAACCCCGGTGGGAGCGCGCTGCTGAAGAATCCCAAACTAGGAAGAAACAGCTGTCCAGTACTCCCAGTGGTTCTCTATCTGATGTCAGCTCATGATGAAATCCTCCATGCAATCAAACCAAATCCCTACAAAATCAATACTTGATTATTACGAATTCCTAAGCCTAAGTTTCTGGTGCGCATCCAGAGTTCAGTGTAATGAGTTTACTTCTCCATTTACGAACACTGCAGTGAATTATATTACCTGAAGTTTTTTAATAACTCAAATATATTTTGATGTGTCACAAAGTTGATTCACTTCTGCCTCTTGATTGAATTCATCTATTGTATTATGCGGATTCAGTAACAAATTTTTACCTGAGACTATTTAAACACAAACAAAACAGATTTGAATTAAAGCAAACTCAGGTTTTATTTTTCTTACTTACAAAGTACAGTGAATTTATTGGTTCCGGAGTTACTATTCTCAATGTAATTCAGTTTTCCGAATACAGAACCTTTTCGTGCTATGCAATAAGCGACATTTACATCTAAGCGTTTTTCATACCACGTGATTTCATAAATAATCCCCATTCAGGCATTAATGATTAAAACAAACAACAAGAAAGTAGTTCAACGAAGAGACCCTTTTCGGCAAATTCAATTTTTTTTCTAGCTGTACAGTCGCACTTATGAACAATTTTTCACAAAAGAAGGTAGCAACAAAAGTGACGAGTTGCCATGATTATCGTTTTTAATATTAATCAATAATTAAGAATTGCAGGAAAGTAGCAGTGACTCTACAAGCACATTGTCAACATTAGCCATTCTACTTCAATAAACTGCCCCTACGAAATAAAGAACAACCTGCCGAAGTCTATATGTTTTCCCTCCCACAGCGTTGTTGAAGCCGTAGTCATTCAGATAGAAAAAACTGCAACTCTGCATACAAATAAAAACTATTCAACCACTTCGACGATAATAATTAAGCCGAGTACTCCTGTTTTTGTTTGTTCATTAACCATCTGAGTACAGTTTGAACCGTCGACCCATTGCATCCAAGTCGCACGCTTTGGTCCAATAAATGCTACATTCGCTAAAAGGCTTGCAGTATCAACCATATTTGCTAAAACTTATAGCATTCCTAAGGTTACATTATTTCTTTGTTTTTTTTTTTTCAAATGTATTTCAGGGGAGGATATATTCTTCATCCTCAGTCGATAGAATTTTGGCAAGGTCAAACAAACAGACTACATGATCGTATACGATTTCGTCGTGTTGATCAAATGACAGATGAAAATCCCTCAGAACTCACCTATCAAGCAGATAATGGCTGGGTGTATGAGCGTCTAGCACCGTGATAATCTTTCTTTGTACAAACTTAATCGTGTAGTGAATTTTGTAATGCAATCGATAAACTAATCACTTAATTTTTAGTTGTTTTTTTATTTTAAAAAGCAATGGGTTTCAGCTTTTGGGGGAAACATTATCATCCACTGAAATGTGAGTTATACCCAACTAAGATGAAACGTACTATCTGACTTCACCTCCAGCCACCATCTAACGAATAATGTCAGTTAATTTTGTATCTTACAAATGAGTGCAACATTAACCACCTAAATTCTTTTCAACCAGCACGTTGAAGGTAGTTGACCACTCAATTAACGGGAAATGTTTCTTTTCCAGATGGTACCTACTCTGCCACGTTTTAATCTCATTGACTAGTTTTTGTAGATTATTTTATGGAATATACATAACCATAAAACCCAGCAATAAAATATAATGGTGCATTGAGTATTTATTTCGCAGATTACTAATCATTGTTAGTACTAGAGAAAGCTCCATTTGAGAATTTCTCCAAAGTAATACGTGAAAAAACAATCCAAATTTACTCTGAGGCTATGCTGAACCATCTAGCGGATATATTTAAAAAATGGATAAGTTTATTTGTATTGGTAAATATCATAAGCTAAATACATATCAGTGGGTAACTGTATAGGTCAAACAACTATTTCTGGTGCGATCCTTTTACCTTGTAGTTATAAGAATTAAAAATTCCATGAAGAATGAGATACATCAACCTGTAGGACTATGTACCTGCGCATTAAAACGTCTATCATCAGTTTGAATTATGTCATAACTTTACGGTTATATGAAGAATTGGAAACGTATTTTAACAAATGACTACTGAGTCACCTTCTCTCTCTACATAACCCCTGTATTCTCAAGATAGTTTTACTTCCGCTGTCTTCTACGGAAATTAATGATGCTGCCTCGTGAATGTCACCGATGGCTAAGTTAACGATTAATTTTGAACAAAGAGAGAAGAAACATTGGCGCAGTGAAGATCTCCAATGAAATTTATGAATTTGACTCTGCATACGATGTTTAAATCATTGACAGTGTTTTCAAAACAGCTAGCTTCTGTTTACAGCTTCGTAATCAGCCGTTTCGTCGATTCAGTATTAGATTTTGTTAAGCGTCTGAGATTTTTCAAGGAAGGAGGAAGTTTACAAGAACGAAGGTTTTTTTATAAACTGACGAGGGAAACAGCAGGAGCGTAGACATTGATCATAAAATTTCAGTCGAGTAACTTCACGTGATATTCTGCAGCGTACGGTCACCAAATGATTCAGTGACTTGAATGAAGTAGCAGGGAGCCGATTAATGATAAGGCGAAACTAGATTCCACTGATTTCAAACAATATCCTGCTGATTATATGTTTGTTTTTCATGGACATAATCCTATGGATATTAAATCTAAGCAACAATACATAAAAGTCAATTTACATGACTCTGGTATTGAAAAAAGTGTTTTCTGAAGTTGTCGTTGTTTAACATGATAAATGTTCTTCTTATGTCGGTGGATCGAATAAACTAAAACAGTCTTGCGTAAATGTTGAGTCATATTTCATATTGGACACTACATGTAAAGTAATTTCATTCGCTATCCACTGAAGAGCTGAACTAATTAATGAATTAAGTTTTTTCCATAATTGCACTCACGCTTTACATAACGGAAATGCAACTGATGACTAGCTACACTTTTAGTCTAAATTAATTCCATACCCATATCTAGCTGCGATATTAGAATAAGTCAATTTATTTTATCCTTTTTGGGATTCCGATTTTGATTGTTCAGTTACAAGATCTGAGTAATAAAATAAAAAAACATGGACAGAAGGAATGACATTTTTGTATCTTTAACTGATAATAACGCTAAGGTCTATCCGCCAATCACGACAACACAAAAATTATAACATGTCAGCAAATGGCATATACTACTTTGCAAAATTGATTTCATTTCTAGAAATACTCCTATGGAAGCTCATTCAGTGTTAAGCATTAAGTATCTTCTCTACATGGCGACACAAAGATATCCCATTCCATCTCAAAGCGAAATCCTGATTCCTATCTGTGTGCGTGTAATTTCAGAACAACCTTTCTCTCTAGTAGGTGCAGGAAGTGAGTGTTTGATTTCCTCAATAATGTAGTTAAAATTAATTAGAATAACAGTGAGTCTTCGATCTTGTTGGTCATAGTGTTACATAATTATTGCTGCCTGATTGCACTTTAGGCCTCAAAAGGCTGTTTATAACCTAAAACCAAAAGTTAGTAAGAGCCAGTGGATTTCTGCTACCTCATCGGAACTGATTAACACAAGAAGACTGATTCCGGCGAGCTCTGGATATGATGAGGAGCGAAATCCACTCAAACGCAAACTAACAAGAAGTCTTCGCAAGGAACGTGAACAGTGGTGGGCGACAAAAGTGAAAGAGATGGAGAAGGCTTCGGCGATAGGTAACACCGGACAACCATTTCGACAAATGATAAGTGAAACAATCTCTGAGAAAAATGGCACCATAATTAGCTCCCAGTATAGACGACTGGAAAGAACACTTTGAGGAGCAGTTTAACTGGCTTACAGCCACACTCAACTTACTCAGCATCCAACTCCTTCCTGAATGGGATATAAACATAGGTCCTCTGTCCCTAACTGAGGTTGCTAAGGCTGCCACTAGTCTGAAACAATGCACAGCAGAGAGACCTGAAGGAATCACTCCAGAGGTGTTTACGTACGGTGAAGACAATTTACTGTATGCGCTAACTAAGGCACTAGGCAGCCTCTGGGAATCAGAGGAAGTCCCGTTGGGCTTGTGTAAGGCATTGATTTTCCCGATATACAAGAAGGGAGATAAGTCTTCCTGTGATAATCACAGGGGGATTAGCTTTACCAATATGTTATCTCAAGTTCTAGGCTCAACACTAATGCGTAGACTAAGTGGTGCTCAGGAGAAACAAACACGAGAGAACAAGGCAAGCTTTAGACAAGGAAGAGGGTGTATTGCTCATAACTTCACCCTGAGACAGATTCTGGAACATAGGCATACTTATCGGCGTCCAAAAGTCATCATATTTCTTAATCTGAAAGCGGCATTCGATTCTGTCGACCGAGAAGTACTATGGCGATGTTTGTCTGTGAAGCAAATGCCGAAAAAATGCATCGCACTGGTCAAGGCACCCTACTCGAACTCATGCAGCCAAGTGAGAGCTTACGGATAATTGTCATCTGAAGTGGTGACAATTAGTGGTCTCCAACAGGGATACCCACTATCCCCATTTCTGTTTAATTTCATCATATATGAACTAATGGACTTAATCTTAAATGATTTCAGTGACTCAGACATTGATTTGTTACCAAGCAATAATAGTTTGTTGACCTATAATATGCAGATGATATGGTCCTCCTTTCTAGGTGGGGACGCTGGCAATGCAGAGTCTTCTGAACACCTTGAGCAGCAATCTTTGAATGTTTGGTATGCGGTTCGCTCCCGTCAAATGTGAGATGAGGCTACAGGACTGGACTAAAATGAATCCTAGCGTAGAAATAGGGAGTGAAGTGGCCAATGGAGCGTGTTGACCACTTCATTTGTTTGGGAAGTTGCATCAGCCAACGCCAACGGGTTGATTGCTGACGAAATCTCAGCATGGATACAGAAGGCTCATTTGGCACACGCTATCTCTGGCGTAGGTGTGATATCCGACTGTCGACCAAAGGGCTTGTGTAATGCTCAGCAGTCCGCTCCGTCCTCCTTCATGGCTGTGAGAAATGGCTATTGGAAGTGGTAGACATATATCTGTTTATTATCTCTCTTCACTGGCTTCTCTTGCTTTGTGTACTAACACGGAGTGTGACAACTTGAACTGCTGCGCGTCTGTGCAAAGTTCTACGTTGAAACCAGTCAGTCAGTGAGGCCTCAAAATATCGTTTTCCACCAAACACTTATCTCTTCGGATTAATCTTTTAGTTTTAATCGACTGAAGATGTTGGCTAAATCTTATTATTTCCACTTGCGCACTTCTTAACAACATTTCAATTTATCACTGTTCCTGCTCTCCATAAATCTGACAGAAAATATCATCATAGTGGACGGCAACAAACAATGCAGCGTAGAAACATGAAAAATCAAATAACTGTCCCCGGAATTAGTAAGCACTAGATTCAGATTACGTAGTCTGTTTCTTTTCAATTTATTTCTGAAAGGAGTGAAATATTATTATTACTGTCGTCTTATCATCACAAACAGTTATTAGTAAACAAAGAAAGCACATTGTTTTCAATCATGAAGTCTGTTTTCATTTCCCCCCACTCCACGTCAAAAATGTATGTCAAATATGCAAAACAGTAGAGAAGCAAGACGAATAAAGAAATAAGTAATAAATGCTCATAAGGGATCAAAATAGAAATCAGTTAATCAGCATGACAACTATAAAACCGACAAGTATGAATGAATAAATAAATGCAATCGTTCAAATAATGACTAAGTAAAGAGTTCAATTATCTATAAAATGCATCCTTTTAAATTCATAACAAATAACCACATATCACATTCTGAAGTTATTCAATTAATTTTGCTAAACACTGAACCACTAGTTGAACAGCTTTTTGTCTGGCTATACTTCTTGTAAAATCTGAAGCCTTCACTGATATATAACCATCATTCATTTGTGAATAATTCAGAGTGGTAATATAATTTGTGGGATTTATACCAACTAATAGGATAACTGTGTATTCGAATTGTCTTAAATCAATTTCTTTTTGTTTCTATACAGTAAGGTAAATAGGAAATAATGATGAGATAATGGATATACAATTGTTAAAAGATGAAATATAAACTCATCAGTATGCATGTTAACAAAGAATGATCCCTACCGATAAGGAAGTGCGTTATACTAAAATACATGGAGAATCAGTAATAGTCACATAATCAATCAATCAATCCATGTTCAACAATTACTATCAACAGGAGAAATTTGAACGAAGTCATCACTCTCAGTTATCTAGGCAGTATCCTTTCAACTACAGACTGTACGAATGAAGATTTTGGTGCTACCCAGAGTAACGAAAGTTAAACAGACGTCTGTCAGTCTGAAACTAGCAGGGAGACCTACTGTACTATGCAGAACGAACAAGATCCGAGTTTTAAACACACGTGAAGCCAGTACCTCGACATAATTCAGACACTTGGTGCGTTACAAAGAGCATTTCGAAAACCGGCTGCAAACTTTCATCGACTGATGCTTTGACTCGATACTGAAGATCAGTTAGCCAAAAAAAGATTCCGGTGGCAAACCAACCAAGAACCGATTGCTCAACAAATATGCTAAAGGAAATGATAATGAATTGGACATAGGCTAGGGAGACCGTTGAGTGACATCATTCGCCAGGTCCTTAGGTGGAACCCGAACGGGAAATAACGAGTTGGGTGTCCAAGGGCGATATGAAGGAGATCGTGTGACGAGGAAATGAAGGCTTACGAGAAATCGTGGAGCCAGCTACTCTAAACTACAAAGAACAGAACTAAATGGAGATATGCCTCATGTTCCACTTGGAACCCAAGGGAGTAATAAATAATGAATGCGACAAAGGAAATCCCTGGTGGTACAATGATTAATCTTTTGTGTGATTAGATGATGCACATCCATTAATCTTTTGGCAATCATCGTGCGATTTTATGAACGTTATATTCTTTTCAGAATAGAGAGTTGAGATTCTTTATATGAGGCAAATAGACTGACTATTAGCCCGTCGAGTTATTCAAATTTTAAAATAGTAGAACACAGTGCCATTTTTCAAAATACAATTTTTTTGTTTTCCCGAATGAATTAAAACGAAATTGTTTTTGCTAACGCTTCGCTAGTAGATCTATGGAAGTAATATTAAACCACAATTTACAAAATCTCATTGATCAATACCAAATTATGAATATAATATATTCAATGCCGAAAATATTAAACTGGGGCCTATACACAGTTATATTTCTTTTTACCACACCATGGTCGCATAACAGAATCACAGCATATACTGTGACTGAATATCCTTGTCAAACAGCAGGATAAAGAGACGATAAAGTAAACTAAAGTCTGAATTGTTAAATATGGAATTGTAATTGCAAAGCAAGAATCCTTTTGTGTGCTGTTGAGTACCTTGTGTGATTGCACAAAGATATCAGTGAATTTGTCAACATCGCGAATTGATAGAGACTAAAATCTATGGGTCATAAGATTCAGTCCCAGCGGCTGAATGGTCAACGAGCTCGCTTCTTAACTTGAGAGTCCTGGATGCTGACTGATGAAGAGCCCCAATCCAGGACGAAACAAAAGTCGCAGTAGAGCCTGGTTTTGAACAGTTCTCTAACTAATGTAAATCCGGAATCAAAATTGAAAATTGACGACAGAATCACAAATGAGTCGTAGTTACAACGCGGAAAGGAATCTGTTGAGAGTGATGTGTCTCAGAACTCTAGCATTGTTGTAGGTAGACATAGGCATAAAGAAATCAGAATTAAATGTGCAATCTTTGTTTCTCGCCTGACCTCAGGTAGTCACATTTAACTTCAACTTTTTCAATCTTTACATTTTTGTATCTTATTCGGAACAGAACAATGCACCTATTCTTTAATTCATGTTTTGACCACGTGTAGCTTATAACCTATTCTTACGTTTTCAGTAACTTTACATACAAATCTGTCGACACCTTCGACATCTTTATATCATATTTAGAATTATAATCCTCAAAAGTTTATCCTTGTTACATTATTATTATTATTATTGTATCTTTTAATTCCTACAGGAACATAGGGCTTCAGCCGTGCGTCTCCATTGCGTTCGGTTCTCTGCTAGAGTTTTCACCTGGCTCCATGTCTGCCCACATGCTTTCATCTCCTCTTCACATGACCTCCTCCAAGTCACCCTTGCACTGACGACCAACTCGCCGCTTCCCATTCGGGTTCCACTCAAGGGCTTGTCTTGTGATGTCACTTGATGGTTTCCTCAGAGTATGGCCAATCCATCTCCATTTCTTCCTGCCTATTTGTTTCACAATCGGTTCTTGGTTGGTTCGCTCCCAGAGATCCCTGTTGCTGATCTTTTCTGGCCATCTTATCTTGAGTATTGAGCGAAGACAACTGTTAATGAAGGTTTGTAGTTTGTTTTAGATGCTCTTTATGACGCGCCAAGGGGTTAATATAATCACACTTGTAACTAGTCGATATCGTGAAACAATTGGTTTAAAATTGGGAGCACCTTCTGACAAGCATGTAGTCAGTACTTTGGAAACCACAGTTATCGTACTGTAATAAAATAGTATAAAAATATAGTATCACAACTGCAAGATGACATACCTTGTGTCCAGTGTAAAATGTAGGAGGATAATCGATGAAATGACAAGGCACTGAAAGACGTTTGCACAAAAGGACCAACTGATCAACCAAACTAACATTCGTTCTTCCAAGTAATTCTTTTTTTGTATTCATTGATAGTGAAGGATTAGAAACATGTTCTTTTAAACAATAGGCAGCGACACGAGCTAAAAGCTGCAGTCTTATATTCGTTTTTATATGTGTACAGCTGAGGGAAACATTAGGGAATGCACTATCAGACAAGCAGTCTGATTTTCGATGCCAGTGGTTTCCAGACAGGTCGTTTTCTGAGTTGCTTTGAGAACAGGATCTAAGACTGAACTTCAGCTTTTTAGAGTCTACAGGAACAGGAAAAGTATCTTAGCACATACTGTCTCGCTATATAATAAAAAAAGTTCTCATCTAAAATAGTTATAATCACCTTGAAAACACTTCAAAGCAAACCAATAATTTGGACAGGATAAAGCATATCCATTTCATTTCGCTGTCAGTAAATGTCCACAACCTGGAATGGTGAACTAATTTGCTTAAGTCAATCAGTTAAAATCTGTCTATATGAGCATACAGGTTTTAGTAATAAGTGATGCAACGTAACAAGAATGAATAATTGACACTTAGGCTGAGTAAAATGCAATCAAATAAAGTTTTTAAAAATCATCACGAAACTTTTAATATATTAAAACAAAATTAAGTGTTTTGTGGGGGAAAACTATTACAAAGCATCTCAATATTTTTTGAATGAAATGGGGTGGCTTAAAGGACAGTAACACAGTCTGTGGCTGGTTCAAGTCATATCTTTGACTCACAGGTTTCTTTGTTTGTTAGTACCAACTGCAGGTCTCTGGCTGACAAAGTGGACTGTCCCCAGTCTCGAATTTCCTTAAATGTCTATCGAAATACTGATGTTTTATCTGTACAAGAGGCTTGGCTCCACCAGAAATATGACGAAAATCTAATTTCATTAAATGATTATAAAATTTTCCGTCAGGACAGACAAAGTTCAAAGAAAAAACATGGCTGATGGGTAACCCCTTTTATTAATACAAAATGGTCTACATCTAATCAAGTATGTCTCCATTTTTCCAATGATAATATAGGCTGTATCGCTGTTGGGTATCGTCCAAAGCATTTAAGCAAACATTCCTTTATATATATATATATATATATATATATATATATAGGACTGTAATTCCTCTGATACATCTATCTTCGCAGACGAATTTACTGAATTCTCTGCTCCTATATTTAGAAATTTCCTGTCAGTAGTCTTGGGGGACTTTAATTCTTCAGATCACAGCTTTCTTATACCACTCAGTCCTGAGAATCTGGTCAAATTCAATACTCCTCTGGTCAAAACCGTAGACTCGGCCTTCATAAACGATCGTGGCACATACGAAGCAGACATCTACTGTTGAATTCTGACCATTGCATTATTCGTATTTTACCGGAAGTGTATGGCAAGTTATACAGAAGGGCTTTTGTTCACCTAACAAAGAAAATCGAAAAAGGATCCTACTCACATGACAATATTCAAGTAGTAAGATGTATGATGCATGATGCCGACTGGGACCTATTCTCTTTGATAAAGTGTCAGACGTTACTATCTCTAATATCACCTATCTCAAGTTCTGTTTAGACATTTGCTGTCCTACTGGAACACTGTTCACGAGATTCCATAGGATCTTTTCTCCACAATTAAAAAAGGGTCAGAAGAGAAACTGTATAAATCACATGATAATGCAGGTTTTCGAACAATTAACTATGTGATAAAGTCTGAAATACAAAGACTAAGTGTGACATATAATGAGAAATTTTTACCGTGTAAGAATGCTTCAAGCAACTAGAGACTTTTTAATCAAATAGTAAGCAAAAACAAATTTCAGATGATGCTTATCCTGATGCCTTAAATAGATCTTTTATAATGCAACGAGCTAATATGACTGGACCTGATGTTTCTACTCCGTTAAATGATTATTTTCCTGCTTTTAATGAAAAGGATGTATTTTCATGTCTTAAATCCTTAAGTCCATCTTACACAGCCTAGGACTAGATGGTGAACTAAGCATTTTGCTTCAAAAGTGTGCTGACAGTTTGTGTTATCCTCATACCCAAATCTTCAATGCGTCGTTTCACAGGGATACAGTACCTATTGCCTGGAAGGAAATAAAGGTGGTGCCTGTACCAAAGTCATCTTCTAGATCAGGTCTAAAGTTTAGGTGAATCGCCATCACGTTTCCATTTCTGAAAAATAAGGAGATGCTGTCGTTGTATTCTGCCACAATATTGTTTCAAGTCTTGATAAAGGTGCAAAGTTTGTTCGAGCCTCCTTTTCAGACTACACTGCTGCTTTTGACTATATTCCTAGGGCGCTTTTACTAAGCAAGCTGATTTCAGCAAACACTGAATCCTGAGTCACAAGGTGGCTGTCTTCTTATTTTTGGGTGGAAAGCGCTCTACAATTCTGCTAGCGGAAACTGGAGTGCCTCAAAGGCACTGTACTCTCTCTATTCCTTTTTTCTTTCTTTTTGCATGACCCTCCGTATTCTTACAATGCTGACTTCGTTAAATATGCCGATGATCTTACCATTTCTGTCCCAGTAGTTCGTGCGCTGGATTGTTCTTATTTGGAATAGGTTCTTATCTGAAGTTAACAAATGGCCTCACCTAAATGGTCTTAAATTGAATCCATCTAAATGTTTTACTGTTGGTTTTGGTTTCAGATGTGAAAAAGACTTGCGTGGACTGATTCAGTCGCATGATTCCTGTAATATTGACGGCGCTGTGATAACAGGGAGTAAAGCGAATATCTCTCATCTTGGTATCAGTTTCTCTTGAAACCTCTGTTGGTCGTCTCATCTCCTGTTCATTTCTAAGAAAACTTTTCGTTTGACTTGTTAGATAAGGAAGTTGAGACTTTCTGGAATAGCTCGACCTCTTATCTTACAGTTTATTAATTCATGGATTCAATCCATTTTTTATTGTTCCGCCTTATTCTTCCCTGGACTTCTCAAAAAAGACTATATCATATTACGTAGAACACTGAAGACTGTAAGTAGGGTTAGCGGTGTGCTTTCGACTCAACTAACTGACATTGTTGTTGGTAGGCAGTTTAATTCTTGCAAGCAGTTATCTTAAGTTATCCTGCCTGATACTGAACATCCTCTTTGTGATTCCCAACGTTTTCCTTGTATATCTTCGTGTAAAACTAGAAGAAACTTCATAAGAATTTACGCTCGTGCAGCAAAATATAAAAATTCTACCATACCACATTTAGCACGGGTTTGTGTGAAGAGTCAGATGTCAGAAAGGAATTTATAAACTTTTTAAATCAGTAATCAGAACTGCAAAGTATAAGCAAAGATTATTATTACATGTAATATCAATGATACTATATATTTATACTTTATTATGCTTTCACCAACATCCTATTTATAATGGTTTCACTATTAATATATTTAAAAGAGGTTAAATTGTTGCAATCAGTGTAAAAACGCTGAAAATTCAATTCTGTATAATTAATATTGTTTGGAATAAAGTCATTATTATTATTATTATTATTATTATTATTATTATTATTATTATTATTATTATGTCACTGTGTAACGACAGAAGGCAAAAGTCAGGCAACAGATCATTTATTAAGGAAATCAACGCATATTTATATATTTTCATGTACATTACTATGGATATTTAAGTAAACAAACACAATCTTCCGATTGGTTGTTTCTCACGTAAACTTAATCTTTCATCTATTTGTGACTGTTTCTTGAATGTCAAATCCTCTATATGTTAACTGCATCCGCCTACGCAAAGTCTGCTGTGGTCGGTTTTGAATCAATCTTTGTTCATATTTTCTCACGACAAATCTTGGGAACGTAAATATTGACGTAAATTACTGTCTACCAATTTGGCTAGTAGACAGCTCTCACCACAACTGTATTAGCCTGCTAGATTACCTTTCACAGGTAAATATATATGTGTAAACCATGGGCAATATTAATTTGTTTATTGGATAAAACAAACAGTGAAACAGTATTATTTACCGGATATTTTTTTCAGTTGACGAATACCATTTATTGTTCATAATCATATCAATTATAACTACACAACTTCAAGACTTTAGTTTTATAGTTTTCCATATTCCTTCCCATCCGCCGTAGGGATAGGACAACTATCCAGATGTCTGGAACAGGTATTGCACGTGCTTACAGTTGATTTGACAAATAAATCTTCCGTTATCAATCTCTCTCCGTCCTGTCATATTAGATTTTAAAACTTTCTTCTTATCCAATCCTATTGTACGGTTGTGCGCAATTGCATGTAGTGCCATAGCTGAGCTATGTTGCAGATTTCTTATCTGATTAGCGTCAGTTAATCTAGATCTTAATAAGTTTTTGTGCTCAGCTAATCTGACTGACCCTGATCTACTACTCTAACCTATATATTTTAGCTGACAATCACTGCAGGATATTAGATAAACTGAATTATTTTCTCTGATTGGCTCGATAGGATCTTTCAACCGGGATAATTCGTCTCTAAATGAAACTGTATATTGCTGATCGACTGAGAAGAGTGTTAGGGAGAAGACTGATTGTAGATACATAAATTTGCTACACCATATCTCCAATGCTTTATTTGTACATCTTTTGCAAACTGGTCGAATATCAACACATTCGATAGCTTGTTGAGTTTTGCACAGTGTTTCTAACGTTCTTTTCGCAGTTCTGTTTTTCGATTGATTTATTCAGTGTTGGAAACATATTGTTGCTTTTCTGAACCCATCTACAGATATACTACTTATATCTGATTATAAGTAGCACAAACCACATGAGTGGTTATATACCACTCACATGAAACAACAGTACTTGCTAGCCAGATCAATGTAATCTAAACAACAGGCAGTCGCTTCCCTTGTTTGGGGTCGACCTCATCAGCGGTGTACATGGTTTAACTCAACTAAGAAAACCGAGCCCCAATCAAGGGAAACGGTCGTCCGGTCTTTAAATCACTTCGATCTGGCCAGCAAACACTAATGGCTGATGTGAGTTGTGTACAGAATCGTCACAATCAATCAGCAGTATGTAGTTTTATGCAATTACGCTTGCTTCACTCACCACGATTTATGATATCAAAGGGACCATATAGAGTAATCTGAAAAACTTCGGTTTCCACGACAAACTTTGATGAAATCCCACGGAGGACTGAGTAAAGTGCAAATTGGGGGTCTGATGTTTCTAAGTGAGTTTGAATACCACTTTAATTCCTGCATTATTAAGAATTCTACGCAAGGTTTCAAAGGTTCTTTCTTTGTATGGAAGCACTAATGATTTTCTAAATTCCCTATATTTGGTGTTGCTGTCCTTCTGCTTACGTTTGTCATGCACATCATCTTTATTATTATTACTTTTATTTTTATAATTTCCTACACATTTTCCGATTAATTTATTGGGTAATTATGAAGTATTAGAGCTTCTCTTATATTACCTTACTTCCTGCCTTAGATTTACCTTGGAACTTGGCCCTATTACATAAAAATTTCACTAATCCTATTTTTACTGACATAGGATGGGGTGAACCCAGAATTTAAATATTCGGTTTGAATGTGTAAGTAAATATCCAGTAAATAACACTGTTTTACCGTGTTATATATCCAATAAACGAATCGATATGAAGTAACTTCAGCAAACCATTTCAACAATCAAATCGATCCGACAATCAGATCAGAACAATCTGTTGGCGACAGCGATTGCAAAAATCAAATTAACTTTTAGTAATAACCACAATAAATAAATGGATTTCTAGACTTTTCTGATGTTCACATCTGACTGTATACAATGTCTGCATCACATCTTCATGTAATAATAAAACAAAAGGCTTATATTATTCAGTGTGTTCACAAATCTCGCCTAATTACTAGTTCTACTATCACACGTCGAATTGTGGAAGTTTTCTCATTCACACATGCATATTCAGAAACAATACACACTTATCAATAGATAAGAACAAACCTGTCCAATAACCAATAGTTTTATCGAAGACACCAAAATCTTTGTAACTTTTATAGTGTTCTCTATCAGATGTTGAATTTGGCTGAAATTAGTCAACAGAAAGAGGAAAAAATATAAACAATCAGAAAAAATCAGAACAGTAAATAAGAAAAGAAACTGAAACAGTACTAGATAAGATGAGAAATGACAAGAAATTACTGTATGACCAAGTTATTTTATTTTTTGGATATTAAATAAGAATATATATCATATTTGGGGATGACAGATATGCCTGATTTAGGGTATATTTTCCAGATGTCAAAATCGTTCTCAATGGCATAGATGCATTCATTCTTCGTGATCTCCTATTGTGGTGGTGTGATACGGACAATGTGTTCCAACGGAATATTGTTCTTACATATTCCCACAGTTCAATTCGGCATTAGCAATGGAATACTATATATGTATTCGAACATTTGGTTTCATGTCGTTCAGTGTAGACCAAAATCACACGCTCAGTGATTGGTTAAAGAACATAAACTTTATGTATATAAATTGTTGTTTAATTAATTGAAAATATACCTTGGCTTTCGTGCCTTGCCTTCTGTTGTTACACTATATCCATGTTATTATTCTATGACACATTAACATGTATCTGCGGGAGCAGTTACATTGGAAGGACAGAAAGAAGGGCATATCTACGATTTTCTGAACATGTACCAAAAAGCTTATGTCTAAAAGGAAAAATGCTTTAAACAGTGCCATCGCCAGCCATCTCCTTGGCACCACGGGTCATGGGGTGAACGTCGCAAGATCGTTCAAAATTATCAATAGGCAAAAGGGCTCGATTCTTCTCAAGGTTTTGCTGAAGCCATCTCCATCAAGCGCCTGAAACCTGATTTGTGCGTTCAGAAAGAAACAGTAATCAGTATTTCTTGGTCCTGGTAACTGGATATTTTCATTTCTCTTTCATCTGAATGCGTAATGTCGAAAGTTTCCATTGTGCATGACCATTATTGTTCGGAATAGTGGTTAATATTATATATTCATTGATTGATTTTTAGTTTAAAAATGAACTCTGTGCAAGTATGTTAAAGTTGTTTCTGTAGTTATATTTAATAATGACTTCGGCCTGTAAGCAGCTGATGAGGAGCCAACGAAATAAACACTGATGGCACCATTTTATTCTGCAAAAACTGTTGTTCTTGCTTTATTCAAATTTCTGTTCATTATAATTTTTCTGAAACTCTTTTTTCTCTAGACCGTTGTGTGCCGCACGGATTCTGGCAACTTTAACTGCTTCACTTCTGTGAAAAGTCTTATGTTGAAGCAGATATATGTTAGCCATTAACATGATAAATTAGAATGAGGTCCAAACTTTTATTTTTAATTAAAGTAGACGAAATAAAAGTTGTTAAGAGGAAAAATATACACCGATCGACGACATATAATCAACTGATAAATGTGATATAAGTAATAAATAAGAGTAATAAATTAGCTACTACTAACCAGTGAAAGACGAGATGATGTTGACGAAACATAATGGTTTTGTATGAAGTTATGCATATCATTCATTGAAAGATTCATACTTGAATAACAACGAGTATTTTGTTTATTGTATAGTACTTTTGATTTTACACCTTTCCTAATAAAAGGAAATTTTGAAAAAAAAGTGTATGTTAATTTCGTGTTTATCAAAGTTCACCATATAGAAAAATACATGAAAACTTGTTCATTAAAGGTATTTGGTGGATGGTGACTAGTAGTGGGAACCCGGGAAGAGCAACATCTAAATATTATTTGGAATGTGTGTGGGGTTTGAGTTTCAAAAAAGAAAACACCATCAATCACCGGAAATTGCGGGTATATCCAGTTGACAAGTCCCAAATGGGACGAAATGTGTGTCTTGGTCTGTCTGTCTGGATTCAACATAGAACTTGGCACCGAAGTGCAGCAATTCGAGTTGCCACGTTCCAAATAGCACACAAAGGTAGACAAGAAAATGAGTGAAGAGAATCAATAGAGTTTTGACAAGTATAAGAGTGAAACAGAATGAGTAATGGTAGAAAGGAGTATGAAGGTTAAAGAGACTGAATACATCTGCGTCATTGACAACGATTTTGAGCCATGTCACCTATTGTCTCCAGCCATTGATTCTTAGAGTCCCGAGGGCCTCAACCCGGAAGTCTGCATCTCCCTACCTGACTCAGTTTAACTGTCAGGGATTTCATGGATTGATGCCATGTTTTTGTTTGGCCACCACTTACTCTTTTCCAACCTGAACCTATATCAGCTAGTAATGCCCGTCGGGGGAGACGATGGTAAGGTATGCGCAGCACGTAACCTAGCCATCTCAATCTATGTAACTTTATAGCCTCTTCGATTGATTTTCCCTCTTTGCCCAACACTCTGCGCCTAACGTCAACATTACTTACCTTATTATACCACCTAACGCGAGAAAGAGATCGTAAACATCGGTGGTCAAAAACAGACAATCTCTTCATGTCTTCCGCTCTCAATGGCGACGTCTCACCACCATAGAGAAGGACGGAGCGAACTGCTGAGCAGTATACACGTCCCTTGGTTGACAGCCGGATGTCACGCCTACGCCAGAGACGGTGTAAGTTAGCGAAAGCAGCCCTAGCTTTTTGGATCCGTGCTGTGATTTCGTCATCAATCAATCCGTTGGTGCTGATACAACTTCCAAGATAGGTGAAGTGGTCAACATGTTCTATCAATTCACTCCCTATCACTAAGCTAGGAGTCGACGTAGTCCAGTCCTGTAGCAGCATCTTACATTTTACATGGGCGAATCGCATGCCAAACATACGAAGATTGCTGCTCAAGGTGTTCAGAAGACTCTGCATTTTGTCAGCGTCCTCCCCTAACAGGACTATGTCGTCTGCGTATTCTAAGTCTATAGGACTATTCCCTGGTAACAAGTCGATTCCTAAGTCGTTACGTTCGGTTAAGGATACTTCCATTAGCATATCTATGATGAAGTTAAACAGAAAAGGGGAAAGTGGACATCCCTGACGGACACCACTGGTTGTTATCAATTCAGATGACAATTCCCCATAAGCCCTTACATGGCTACGTGAGTTTGAGTAGAGTGCCTTGATTAGTGCGATGTACTTTCTTGGCACTCCCTTCATAGTCAAACATTGCCATAGAACCTCTCGATCCACGGAGTCGAAGGCCGCCTTCAAGTCAAGAAATATGGCAATTGTTGGACGCCTAAAAGTGTGTCTATGTTCTAGGATCTGTCGGATAGTGAAGATATGATCTATGCACCCTCTACCTGGCCTAAAGTCCGCTTGATTTTCTCTCGTTTGTTCCTCCCGAGTTCGGCTTAGTCTGTTCATGATTACTGACCCTAGGATTTTAGAGACTATGTTCGTTAGGCTGATTCCTCTATGATTATCACATGAGGACTTATCTCCCTTCTTGAATACTGGTATGATAAGTGACTTACCCCAGTCTGATGGAACCGTCTCTGATTCCCAGACGTTACCTAGTACCTTAGTTAAACTACATACTAGCATGTCACCCCCATATTTAAACACCTCCGGAATAATTCCGTCGGGTCCTGCCGCTTTGCCTCGTTTCAAATTACAGATAGCTTTGGTGACCTCACTTACAGACAGCGGGCCAGTGTCTATGTCCCATTCGGGTGTGTGCTGGATGGCGGGGAGGCTCAGTGTGGCTGTAGGCAAGTTAAACTGTTCCTCGAAGTGTTCTTTCCAGCGTTCGAGGCGTCTATCCTGAGAGCTAATTAAGGAGCCATTTTTCTCACAAATAGTCTCACTTATGATTTGCCTTCTCCCACCCGTTTCCCTGATGAGTCTAAAGAGTTGCCTAGTGTTGCCTATCGCCGATGCTTTTTCCATCTCTTTCGCCTTTGCCAACCACCACTGTTCACGGTCCTTGCGGAGACTTTTCGTAAGTTTTCTTTTGTGCAGGTTTCGCTCCTCATTGAATTCGGAGCTCATCGGAATAAGTCTTCTAGCATCTATCTTGGATTCGGCTACTATTCAGCATCCACAAAAAAAACATCAGATTAATCCTAATACATTATCGAAGCATCTGTACTGGGAGCCAACATGTTAACAGACACCAAACATTTCGTTTCAATACAGCCAATCAACGGGAAGCACAAAATCAACACTGAACAAATATTGTTTATAAATATGAAAGGTTTTTAGGCTAATGAATGAACGACTTTATTTGAATTTAAAATTCATCATCAGATGTATTTTATCAGTTAGTCCTTAGCTTATTTTTATGATAATGTGACTCATTGGCTCAAGACCTAAGACTTTCTGTCAATCAGTAGTATTCATTAGCCTTCAATCGATATATATGGCTCTAAAGTGACGGGACATGAGAAATCTGCAAAAACCTTAGAAGGTTTACTTCCACCGAAGCAGTAAATTATCACATATATGTCTTATTTTAAGTGCTCAGTATTTCACAAATGAGGTACACTGGGAGGTAAGCAGAAAATTACAATAATCCATAGTCTGCTTCTCTTTTTTGACGCTGTAGTGATGCAATTCGCTGCCAACATGCGACTTTATCTGGCAGGTAGCACTAATTTTCTAGACAGCTACTGAAAAGTAACAATATTAAACAGATGTTTTCTTCCATTTTTAGTACTCTTCAGTATTTTGCCTTAATTCAGGTTTCTCAAGTAGCCAATTTATATTCAACTACATTTTGCAACTGTTACAATTCAGTGATATACCATGGTCATCCGTACGTGACTTCACTCACATCCGAATTTTCTGGTCAGACAAATCACAACTTCATCTTGAAGCATTAGACAAGTCTGTGACTTTAATATTTCAGAGGGCATTTGTTAAATATACCTGCTAACAGTCATATGATATTGTTAGTTCAACATACAAAAGAACTTTAGCCGTTCTTATAGGTGTCTTGAAATGATCTACGAAAGTATTTTAGCGCTTTCAAATATCAGACGGAAAGCGTACACTATGCTGTTCACTGACCCCAGCTACTAGTTTTTTGCTGTAAGAATTACACCTTGTCAAATTACCATTGAATTTACCGGACACCGTTGTATAGATGCTGCGCAGTGGGATTCTAATAAAACTCTTTCAAAATATTCGAATAGCAATTGAGATCTATTTGAAACTCGTCAGCCGGATGTACCTGCGATTCCCCAGTGAGTGATGGTGTTCCCACTGAGACTCGAACCCAGCATATGTAGGTTTAAAAGCCAAGTAGCCTAGTGAATAATGCTTTGAAACTATGAGTTCTGGGTTCCAGTCTCAGTGGGAACACCATCAGTCACCTAGGTGACGAGTTTCGAGTAGGACGAAAGGCGTATCGTGGATAGTACTCTTAATCACCATCAACCAAATAACCTAAAAAAGGTACCAGTCCACAGCTGAGAATAATTTGGTGTTCAATCTATCCATATTCAATGTCGTAGGACTACTCTAAACTTGTAGATATCAAAATGCAATTAGCATATGAATTCAATATTTGCATTCATTAATTGTCATCAAAAAAGATAAAGTAATTTAATAAAAGAAGCAAGTCTAGCCACTACTACTGCCCTGGCCAGCCTTCAGTGGAGACTATAAATTCATAAATTTGTATTACTATCTTTCCTAATTTTCCTGATATTCAGTGTATTGTTATGTTGATACTATTGAACTGTAATCTATTGATATTACTGATTCTATGTTATTTTAACATTAATGTTGTTAATAGAGATAATGTACAGATTTTAAATAGAGGAAACACCAAAAGTGCCAGAGAATTTCTAGAAGCCTGGTACTCATATTAATGTAGACTAAATTTACCAGCTAATAAAAAGTAAATCATGTGACAAGAAAGTTTGTAATCCAAGTCAGTGAAAATAACCGACAGAGATGTAAATCAACTACCGGTCACGAAGATGTTTGCCAGGAGAAACAATAATATCATTCATAGAGAGCTCGAATTAGTTCATTTTATATTAAAACCTGGGCTGAAGTTGTCTAGAAGGACGACGAAGGCTTCGCAATTAAATCAATCAGCTCAGAGAACACAACTAACTCAAAATTAATGTTGTTATTAACACTAATTTATTCTCTATTATGATATATATATATAACTGTAGAACCTGATGATGAAGTTATCGAAAAGAATATTCTTTGTTTAGTAACCATTCTTTAGGAAAATTTTAACGGGCATTGATAATCAATAAAATTACTGTTAAAGGCAACTTATATCGTTGTAGAAATTAAATTGAAGAAGCTGTCCTTACTTTTGCACGGGATGAGAATTTCGTCTGCCCAATGAACTGCATTTCCCTTCTTCTTCACTGAAGACAAAAGTATCACTGGTACAACTAAAATTCACATGATAATCCTAGAAAAATAAATAAATAATAATAATAAATGCAGAGCATTGCATGTAGATTCCCACAAATTAAAGGGAGAATTTGTAGATTTTGAAAGCTGTTTTCATTGTAAAAAAAAATTTGGAATAGTAATGAAGACTACAACGATAATACCAACGTTTACTTATTGTAATCAAGTAAACTAGATGAATTTTCAATGTTTTACAAAACCAATTTTGATCATGTCAACATAGTACTTTGAGTCTACCTAAAATATATTATTCCAAAATTGATTACAAACCGACTTCAGATATAGAACTTCAAACATAAAACCAGGAAGTACTGGACAGTCGTTTTACTTTTAACAAAAAGAAAAGTACATATAACAGTCTTAGGAGACGGCTCACTGAAGACGATGTTAATCAGCCAGTGAACATAGTAATATCAGAAGCTCTGTTTTCTATGGTTGTCACATTATCAGAAACAGGCTATACCTTATTTCTTCCTTTCAAACCCTGAAGATCACTTATACTCTGTTACTCCTAAGTGGATTTGCCATCCTCAACGATCAATATATTTCAATTCTTCTTTTCAATTTGGCTGAAACAGCCATAAGCGTGTGATAGTACCTAGCTGGTAGAGACTATAAACCGTTGGTCATATGAAAGCATTTTCAGGAGAAGACTACAGGCTTTCTCATCATCAGGTTTATCATGCCAGTGAAAACAATTAAGATTAATCCTGCATAAACTTATCTAGCCTGTAACAAAAAATTGGAAGCAGATATACGAAATGTGATAAAAGATTTTTGGTGTTTCTTTAAGAATATCAGATCAGTATAATGCATTGACGCACATGCTTCAGTTATCACCATTACTTACTAAGCCCACTGTAAACATAAGTAAAAATAGTGCCAAACGTAGTAACTGCATATATTAGACAAGCTCCATAAACAACGGTTTAATGGAAATGGTATACAAGAATTAATATACGTTACCTTGCTGTGAACCATCTGATTCGGTAGGCTCTCTGATCTACCTCCGTTGTCGTTGTTTTCCGTGGGGACAGGATTACCTAATTAAGTTGAGAAAAAAAATTGACTTTATTATTTGCTTAATGGTCGCCACATATACATAACTTTTTTGTATTCCTTTGAGTTCCCAGTGGAACATAGGGATTCAAACTAAAGCTTTGAAGTTTCAATAGCAGTGGTTTTATTTTTACGGGGTGAGATCGGTAGTCTCACGACCAACTTTCCTTCTTTGCCAGGCTTATCAGCAACTAAGCGAGATTTGGGAGTGTACCGGCCGGGGTTCGAACCCTGAACCACCTAGGTGGCTGGCGAGCACTCTACCTCCGCACCACCGACCTACACACATATAGATAGCGAAACCTCATGTGACCGATTTACTGAAACAGACATACTGTACTTCTGAAAATCCTATTTGGGATGAGAGCTTTGAAGTTAGAAATTATAGTAAAAACAGCTGACAATTTCGTCGTGGGAAGAACTGTACTATAATTTCATTTTTGACTTTTATCGCCTACTATGTGACGACATTAATGAATTTATCACTGCACAACTCAGAGAGGTAGACACTGAAGACAGTTGTTCACTCAAATATTTTCGGTTTGGGATTATCGCTTCACAAAGACTACGACAAGAAAACCCTGACATTCACAGAAACTGAATATCAACACTTAATGCAAATTGTTGACGCATAGCATGGGTGAATATAATTACCGATAACAGAACATACATTTGGCTTGTTCAGAAGAATTCCGATTGCCTTTGACCCGGTTAGCTCAGTCAGTAAAGTATCAGACTTCTAACCTCACGTCGTTGGTTCAGTAGTAGAATACCCGCCAACTACGCACGTGGTCCGGGGTCCGATTTTCGGCTAACGCACTCCGAAACCTAGACTAGTCAGTAAGTAATTTCCGTACGCAGGGAACGTTGGATGTGAGGCCAGCAACCCCATGCCGTAGGAAAACAAACACTACTGTTACTGAAACTTCAGAGCTCAAGCTTGATGCCCTAAGTTCCACTCGGAACGCAAAAGAATAAAATTAGATAATTAATTGCCACACGTGAAAGTCATACTCATACAGCAGGCGAACGACTAGGTGAAATACTATAAATAACTTTAACAGCTCTGCTCGTGTCGACTTGATGTTATGCACCCATCACATGTGGTAGTATTGAAGTATATATAGCTTCATTCAGTACTTTGCCAAACCGACCTTGATTTTCATCATGTTCACTCGGAATAATGGATCATCGTGCTCAGGTCATTTACCTCATTATGATACCCCAATAACCGCCTAAATTCTTATTCAGACATTTGAGTATTGTAGGGATTTACATTAATTTCAATGTAAAGTTCACCGTGAACCGACATCAGTTAGAAAATCACTGGCAAAAGTTAGAAAGGTCAACGGGCTGGCATTGTAAATTGAAGGTCTTGGACCCAACCCCTGGTGGGGCCGTAGGCACGCACTGATAAAGAGTCCCACTCACACACAGACAAAATAGCTGTCCAGTGCTTCTTGGTTTCAATTTCCCCCTAAGTGACATTGGTAAGTGACAAAATCTACAATAAAAAGTGACTACAAAAACATTGTGAGAATACTACCAGCTTACCGTGAGATGAATTTCCCAAGATATTCTCCGCATCATCATTATCAGGAAACGGAACCTCTGCTGTTCGTAGAGCACTTTTAACCTCGGGTACTTTTTCACTAGATAATCCCAATTTTCTCAATAATGCTTCAGCAGCAAGTCGTTTAGCCAAACGTTTATTATTAGCTGCAGGACCTTGGATACATTCGTTTAAAAATTCAATCTGGTAGTTAAAATAAATATGAATACGATAACTTTTCAGTGAGAATAAGCAAAAATGAACAAGTAAACAACAATATAATAACAACAAATGCTAACACTCGTGTAAATATTCGTATCTCAGGAAGGTTTTTTTTGCATTTCTCTACTCTGACTTAGCTATTGGTGTACAATACGCTTTAATATTTTCACAGTAAGGTGTGACGTAGGAATGGAAACAATACTTACATTTTCACACTTGCTTATTTTATAATTTGAATTGATCACTCCTAGACTCATGTTCATAGTGCGTCGATGGCACAGCGGTAGAATGCTCGCCAACCACGCATGTGGCCCGTAGTTCGATCCTCGGCCGACGCACTCCCTTACCTCGCTAGGCTGATGATCAGACTGGCAGAGAGAGAAAATTTGACATGAGGATAACCTCATCCTGTAAAAATAAACACAACTGCTACCGAAACTTCAACCCCATAGCTTGAAGCCCTATGTTCCAATGGGAACGTAGAATGTAAAAAAAGGCTCATGTTCATATATGTAGACACAAAACAACCAAAATTTTGTGCTTAAAGATGTTTTCAAAGCACTGGTCGTGTGAGGTAGAACCACGAGATGAACAATATCAATATTATACGCAAAGCATTAGGAAAAGAAGAAAAGAAGTTAATGGATGAAACTGTGAATGTGTCATGTAGAGTATATCAATCGAATCCCTTCCTTGATAAACAATCTTACCTTCAATACCCATATGTAAAAAATAAACTTAAAGGGAATAAACGAAAACATGATATTGAAGCCAGGCCCTGCAAAAACGGTGTACTTCGCATGACTATGACAAAACGTTAATGATCAAAAGAACTCAGTGCCAACCTTTGCATTCCAAATGGATGCATTTGAAGTTTCAGTAGTCATGATTTTGTTTATACGGCTGGAGTTTCTAGCCTCACGCTCAATCATCGCTTTTTTCCAGGCTTACTGCCAGCTAGGAAGCTAGGCGAGGTTCAGGAGTAAGTCAGTCGGTAGTCGAAGCTGGAACACGTGCATGGCTGGTGACCAGAGTTCTACCCCTGTTCCACTGAAATACGAAACCTTCAGGTAGTAAAGATGCATCCACATTTTTAATCTTCCAACGCACTGTCTGATCTTCTTTTCATTGTTTACTCAGCCCCTCACCACACGCAGTTACTACTGTCTGCTGTAATAAAGTCTTATTTAAGTTCCCTTCTTACTTATTTATATACTATTTCTAACAGTGGTAACCTGAACTAAACACATCTCTTTAAGGTTTTATGTTGATTTATATAACATCTCATTATATATGTATATATATGCGTTAGTTGGCATTACCTAGTATAAAATTTCATACTGATTTTAATCTTCCACCAACTTCTTTTTTACCTTCTATGAATGAAAGATCTAAAAGAATCCAGAGATGTTTACCGCCTCAGTGTGTTTCAGTGTGCGCCCTTAACAGAAAAGTCATCAGAGAGGTATGTTGGAGCATAATTTTGTTAGCACTCATCATGTCCTGCATATTTAATCTTTTAATCTAACACAGCTGTGATGTCTGTGTAATTCAAGTCTATTAAAAGCGAATAAGTATGTGAATATTCTTGTGATTTTAATGTTCGAACCTCAAAAGAAATACTGATCTTCTCAACACTACAGAGATGTGATGCCGATGGTTACCAAGAAGTAAGGAAATCTATGTGGGACACTTCCTACTATTGTCTAATAACAAATCAGTCACTCGGCTTGGTGATCACATTGTAAACTTCATTCATGGGACTGCAATCAACAATATCACTACTTCATATCATTTGGTAACCAACTTCGTCAGGCTTCTTATTTTGAGTATGTTTCACTGATACCAACATTTTTAATGACTTCTGCACTTAGTTCACTGAGTTGTACATAAATTGAGTATGTGAATGTGTAGGCTAAAGTCATCTAATATATATCGGACAACAATAAGATAGTGTGCTAGAAATCTATGGACCGTTTATGTCTGATACGAAACAATAGAATCACATAAATACTACGGATAAGCACAATCAATATGAGTAATAATCAATGAGTTCTGAGAATAAATAAAAGTCATGAAATAACAAATATATGAATACGTCTTGCTGCATACCATCATCACATAGCAGATTTCATTTTGGAGATTCTTACAGCTGTTACATAGGATCCCACTTTGTGATAATGGATAATGACTGATCTACACACAAACTGTTATACTCTGCAATACATAATTAATTACTCTTCAGGTATCCTTAGGACAGACAACTGAAATAATTGGTTACAGGATTGATCAGTGTGTGTCATATTAATTTGTTCCCTTAATATAAGTCGGTAATGATTCACTCTGAGAACGAATCAAGCTGATTTCCAGTACATAAGTTAACTACAAAAATTTCACTTTTTTCTCATGACATAATACATACTACTTACTCTTGAATGTGATACGACTGTTGGATAATCCAACGGTACTCAAAGCAGTTTTCTTGTTATTTTGTTTACCGCTGCACTTTCAGCACCGTTTTGAAACAATCTGAATAATTTGGATACTAAGAACATGATGACGTAGTAAGAAAATTTGCTTTGGTCAGGTCATCATCATACGAATACACCAAAATAAAACTGTTCATGGATGTTTAAACTTAAAGTGCCACATTTCACAAGAACAAAAGAACAAGAAAAAACGGAAAATGATAACATTATAACGCAGATTTCTTCATGAAACATCAGTTAGAGATCATTAAAAAACGGTGAGCACTGGACAGATGTTTCGTTCTAGTTTACATGCCTGCCGAAGGCATTGGTTGAGAATGACATTATATCACGAATTGACAAAGTTAGAACTCACGGGTCACTGAATTCCAGCCCAATCGGCTGAATAGTCACCGAGCTTTGACTCGCTAGCTGAAGGTATTAGGGTTCGACCCCTAGTGGGGGTCATGAGTTAGGGACATTGAGGAGTCCCGAACTAGGACGAAACAACTGTCCAGCACTCCCAATTTTTCAGTGGTCTCTAAATGATGTTGTTTCGTGACGAAATCTACATTGAGATGGATTGACAACCCTAAAAATACTCATAATGTAAATAAAGTTACAGCCAAAAACGCATGTTTCGGGGACAATAATTAAATGGAAATGAGTCAATGACCTCAGACATTTTGATAACGAAAAGTACACCTACGTCATTTTAATCAATTTTGAGTCATGTCATCATGAACTTAATATCACAGAATCTCCGGATTCTAATGATTTCAGTCACGCAATATGCATCAGTAGTTTGAGATATCATCGATTTAGAGTAGTAAGTTTCTGTAACAATTTGAAGCATAATAAAACATTGATGTTGAAAAGTTATGGTCAAACCAATAGGTAATGTCGGTGCGATATTTTATATCGCACTATTTCAGGCGTATTGATTCATGATTACATAACAAGTGATTTGTCTTCTTTTTGCAGTACTTTTCTGGCCCCGACATTCACCACAGATGAGCAGTGCTGCGACAACGTTTGTGAGCACAAACCTAAGGACTATTTATATTTACTTTTATGTGCCACATCTCAGAGGTAAAACAAGACAAATTGGATTGCTGTGTATACTTGAGCTTTACTGAAGCATACTGAAGAAGAGTAACAAACTAGGACGAAACAGGTCTCCAGTACTCCATGACATCAATCCGAGATGAAACTTGAAAGAAAACAGTATCGTTTATTTATTTGCCTTCTTTTTTAATCACTATTAGATGAAAGATACTTAGCCATGAAAAATATCAACTGTCAATAGAAAAAAGAAATAATCTTTCACTTGTCTGTTCAACAAACATAGTGAACAAAAAGACTAAATATTAAAAAGGTACACGGAAATTAAATTTTAAGAATTTTGTGGATCTATCATAGAGCATGCATGATGCACTGTTGTCTCTTGGAGTAATAGAATAGCAAGAAATGGAAACATCAAAACATCAATTTTCATTAGCTAACCTGATAAACAAATGATGATCGTCCAGATACCAGAGAGCCCTGCATTCCACTCTGCAGTTGTTCATTTAACAGTGTATATTTTATTTTATCTAAACGCTTTGAAGCTCTAAAGCACTCCAATCTACAAACAGGATGTACCGACTCATCAGTAGCACGATTTAGATTCAACTGTAATTTAGCCTGAAAATAACAACAACCAAAGTAAAAGATAAGAGAGGTAAAATACGTAGAAAAATGAACTAAGTGAGTATACAAAATTTTTATTGTGGATACCAGTGGAGTTCAAGATTTGTGATCCGTCCCACTTGAAAATAGTCAGGTGATTTTAATCCTAGCGCATCAGGTGATAATGTCCTTATTCGGATCTGGATCTAGCACTCTTTACTTTATTAGCATTCAGTAGGTTACATAAGCAGATATTACCCACTGTTATTTCTTGATGCCTATAACCTTCCATCGTTTTCAATAAACAAAGACGATTGATGCATCTCGACACATCAGTTATCTGAGCAGATGGTTTAATATTGACTGGGTTCCCTTTCAATGCTACTTTAAAAAACAGTTTCATTCACAGAACATAAATTAGTTAACGAGAATAGACTTCCAAGTAGGGAAATTAAGTTACTCCAAAAATATTACGAGTTTTTGCAATGAATTAAGAACAGACTACAGTATAGCTGAATTTAATATGGCAAAAGTCAGTATAGTTTCTGTTACACTTACTAAAGTCGACTTGATAGTTAAACTTTAGGCACCACTAACTACCAATCGGCGAATGACCTCCAGCAAACCAGTCACATGAAAGAGGCCTTTTTGGTTATGGAAAACTGCATAAAACTATTACATAGGGTATCTTCCTCTGACATGTGATAAAAACATCTCCCAGTTTAACATAGGAGTATCAACTGAAAGATTACACCACATTCTGTACATATATTCATCCAAATGACTATAAATGATATCCTTTTAAGATTCAATTATAGCCCTAATCCTGTTTTTAACCTTCCCTTCTATAGAATTGGTGTGTGTCCCTGTAATAGGATACACAAAATCATTAGAATGGTTCAATCTTTGATGAATGTATCCAAGGGAAGACAGGGGGTTATAACCTTTCCACTCATCCGTGTGTATTATAGATTCCTATTTCACCAGTCTAGTGATAATAGGTACTAAGGTAGTTAACTTTCTGTCTGCTATTCTCTCGACGAAACCTTTCTGTAGAGAGGCATCATATAAACCAATAACCTAAACATTATTCGCTCGTTCTCAACCACAGTTGTATTTTTTCCTCAGTAAGACAGTTTTGTTCACGTGTACGACGACACCTTCTCCTCCTAATAACGATGTAATTCTTTCCATTTTTCCCGAGGCGATGTCTCTGCAGTGCTAGTACCACTGAACTGTTGATACGAGGCTATTTTCAGTTTCAGCAGCTGCACCTCTCACAGGCTGTTTTAAAACTCAGTAATTACAAATATCTGGGTTAAGGATAGATGGGATCTGGTAAACAAATGTTCCTACGAAATATTAGAATCATCAGCTTACCTTCCCTGACACTAAACCATCTCAAACAAATTACACAATGATGGACATATCTATCAATCGACCCCCTGAAGTTTTTTATACTCATGACACCCCTACATGAACAAATCCTTCCCTTCCTAAGCAAACCTGCATCCAAGCAATACTGGAAAACCTTATCCTCACTAAACTGAAAGCGCAGATGCGTTAGAGCAGGCACTTGACTCGAATCAAGCGGAATAGAACCTTCAACTCACGTGGATGAAACTCATTTGGGCCATTCAAGGTCATCTGCTGATTGGTAGTTAGTGGTGCTTAAAGTTTAACTAGGTTTTGATAGGTTCAGATATGACTTAATTATGAAGCTGAGTAATTTCCTTCTACAATTTGCTTATACCTCAACGACAACCTTGAGCACTCACCACAAAAACCACCCGAATGCGAAGAGGACGATGAGCGGATTGTTAAAGGGGGGCTTTTAATGCCTCGGCGGCAACAAATGGACTAGTGCAAAACAATTTAGAACATATACATGTATTATCATTGATAAATCTACAATTAATGGTCAATAAGATAACACTATTACAAAAAGTTGCAAAACAAAAACAAAGTTATGGGGAGAAAAGATAAGCCATATGTCATACGTAATTTCACAATTCTTAACAGTTTTCTGACTGTTAATCTAATAGATTTTGGGAACTAAAGACATTCTAGATGAGGCGCGGAAGATAATCGAAATCGATTACAGTGTGACACATGTTCTAAAACTTTATATATTTAGGCAAATATTGATAACATGAATATTCTGTTTTATGTAGCTTCTACTCATTTTATTTGGTATGTCGACGACCATTATCCTTATTTGAACACTTATTTATCTTCGTTGTTAAGTTAAAGTTAGCTAGCAACCCTCAAAATTGTCATTATTTATTTAAGGTGCTACACTTTTAGTCTTTTTAAATCACTACAACCAAAATTTAACTCCTCAGTTAAAAAATGTAAGACTAAATGAGATAGCATACCTTGCCTGACTTAACATTCTTTTTGTGTACGCACTGAGATGCAGCATTTGAGTTCCAATTAGACGACTGGACTGTAGAACATTTATTTTCAGTATGATTTAACTTATTAAGCATTGCTTGGGCAGCGGAATCTTGGGCCTTCTTTGCTGACATCGACAAACTTTCAGTAGACTCCCAACCATCTAACACACATGTACAGGTATATCCATTCGGTTCACAACCAGTTAACTTTTTGACCTATTGGTAAACAGGGAAATGAAATTGTTGAATAAACCATAGGCAACAAAAACGTAATCGCTAACTTTTTAGTTAAATTACCAAATTTCGATAACCTTTATAAAAGAGTGAAGGATCATCTACACTTATGTATTGAGTAACTGATGACTGTCATTTTACTACTGTTGCTGCTTTTTCAAACAACGACCGCGTCCTTAGAAATTCTTTGCTCCAAAGGATTTGGTACTTCACCGTGGACGTTTCGTCATCAAGCTTGGTGACATCATAAGCGGTGACTACACTCTCCATAACTAAAGAGTAATTCAGAAACTTCATCCAATCCCATTTCAACAGTGTGATTATTGGAGGTGACGAATGCATTGAGATGGAAGATTTTTTTCTAAGTTACTTATTTTATTACAATTTATTAATGTTTGTTTAACTTGATTTTTATGCTCTAATATCAAGAGTGACTAACAGCAACTTCGCCTTGTGTACCACACATAAGAATGCGGTCTTTCCTCATTGTTTTCATGACGATAGTGATTCTGTTACAAATAATAATGAAAGAATAGCATACTACAAAGTTAAATAAGGCGGATTTTGATTGCCTTGATGTGATAAGCGCTCCAAAGATGTTATAAACAAACCGATATAGAAGAAGAAGACTGCTTCATATAGAGAAAAAACTCAAGCATACGTGGAAATATAACAGTTAGCCAGTCATACCACACATTATAATAATTTGCATAAGTGACTCTTGCTTTTGCAAAAAAATGTAAGGCCCGTGATTATTGAATAAAGTATACGACTTCTAAACAAAAAATAAGGATGTGATTGTTATTGAAATCGTATCGTATGTTGTAGTAAATTTTATGATCAAAAAGTGGAAGGTCTAAGCAATTAGAAAAAAACTGAGTAAACCAGCTAAGAATATACGAAAATAGCTGGGTGTTAATAGGTTTTCAGTGTCGATGGTTACCGTGTCTGATAATCAGGAGCGAGGAGATGTTTCTTGGTTTCCTGATTTTGACCATAAAAGAGTTATTCGTCTTCTCCAAAGATAACTTCTGATTAAAATGAAATCTTATCAATGAAATATCTCCATCGGAATATATAAGCAAAATCAGATAAGAAATAATTAGTGTGTATGTTAAGAAATACTTTGATTGGACATACGAGGTAGTAACTAATGTTATGTGTCTGGTCCTCTGTTTGGTGCATGCTGAATTCTCTCAATCAGGTTCACAATGTAGCCACCATTCTAAATGGCTCACCATTATGGTGCACTCTGGATTGCTGTTAAATGGTTGGAGATAATCGGCAGGAAGCCTTGGACTTAGGTTTCGTCTTAGTTGACACTCATCAGTCAGCAAGGCATATCTGCAACCTTGAAGGAACTCATGTCCCTTCTGAGATTCGAACCCGGTTTACCCAGTGCTGCAGTCAGAGACGTTATCACTGAGGTATTTGGGCTTGTGATTGATCTTCTGCAGGAGTTTAATGGATACTTTGGTTGGACACTAGGGGGTAAATGTTTTCATGTGTCTAGTCCATCGCTTGATGCAGACTGGATTCTATCAGTGATTTTAATTTCACTACTAAATTGCTAGTTGAGAAAAGATTAGCGAAGTTACTTTCAAGAGCCTCAAAATGCCACTGGGAAATACTAGAGTTTCCTCCTGAGGAGCAGCTATGATTGAAATAACTACCAAAATTATTTTTGAAAAACCAGTTTCAACCATGAGGGAATACACGAATTTACAAGTACGATAGTCTGTAGAAAATGATAAAAGATAATAATAATAACCGGAAAAAAACTCAAAGTGTGAAAACATGGAAATGACTGTGCACCTCGTCAATAGGTGAAAAGATTAATTATGAGAAGTGAGTGATCGATAAAACAGTTAAAAGAGCAGAAAGAAGAAATACAGCAAAACATGAATAATTCATTAAATTGTTGATCGTCCAAGGCCAAATGAACTGAAAGTAAGGGTCTACTACAACCAGGCACAATTTCATGGACTTGGGAATGAGGCACACCTCATGTGTGAGGTTGCCCGAATCTCATACATGGGGCGGGTTTCACGCTCGTGACCTATTGGATGGAAGTCGACCGCCTAAACCAATGATCCACAGATCCAGAGAGAAACTCTACACATATTACTAGATGTGGGTTGAAGACTTATACAAAAGAAATCAGCTTGCATGATCAATTCAACAGCTATTTTGTAACTGGAAGCTTCCAAACATCTACATATCTATTACAAATTCTAACACTATATTCCAACTCATAACATTCATTTGGTCAGTAATTAAAGGACTGAGCAACCATCTTAACTCTACCGTTAAATTAGGACAGTCCACAAAAGTACTTCAGAAAGCGTGATGGCTCTATGGTAACCTAGACCACCGGGAAAGTGATTCCAATGGAAGCAGTTTCAGCGAATGCTTAAACATAAAAAAAACTTCTTAAAACTGTATATTCCTAGTTGTTATTTTCCTCTAAAATATTGAGACCAAACTGACCAGCCTATTTGAGATGTATGGGTTCCTTGAACGAATATGCCCAGATATTACCAAGATGAATAACGTGAAGTAACTTTTGTGCTGGTGGGCAGCAGCGGAATCCACATGATGCGCGTTTCTTCCTATTTGGCACCCATCAGCTAGATGTTGATGCTCCTAGTGGATAACGCTTTAGTGTTTGTAAGCGATGAGTACAATATACGTGTCTCGAGGCGAACACTGACAATGACCGGGGAGCGGGTTGGTATGTCCAGTTGGTGAATGAGAACTAAATGAATGACAAGTCACATGTTTAAAATTGATTTGAAGACGAAAATTATTTAAAAATAAAGGCAACCACTGCAAACTAATTGTTTTTCATCCATCTGAACTACAAATCTTCTCCATTATTTTAGAGTTAACTAGAATTAACATTCACCAGCTTTGAATTTTGAAGGTCAATATGCGAGTAGCGTATGTACTGAGAGGAAGAACATATATGGTGAGTAAACAGGATTTAGTACAAACCAGAGTGGGACTTAGACATTTTCCGTTAAGTAACGCTTGATATACTGTTACTGAGACGAAAAGAAATTAGAAATTTCTCAGAATAAAATTTTAAAAAACATCAACTATCAATAATTGAGCTAGACCCAAATGGAAAGAACAATTATACAATCTATCACGAATATGTCCATTACCTTAAAACGCGGATAAATAAAATGCAAACCGGCAAGAATATGTAATCTCCATGATGATGACTCCGGATGGATGTATTGACAAATATTTATGTTGGAATCATCAACCACTCCCTTCTTCGTTTTCTGTCTTTTGATGAAGGATAACAGAGACCGGCGTAGAGCCTAAATTTTTCAACAAGAACAATAGAATTACCATGAAAATTATTTATCTTTAATATTAGAAAAGTATCAGTTAAATTACTACTTGTGTGTGCCATTTAGATACCTGCAACCATAGTCAAAAAGAAATTTGATTACAGTAAAGGACCATTTTATTATATACACATACGTATAGCCACCTAAATGAGAGGAAGTTGCATCCAATTCCGAAGGTATCGGCAAAACATACATAGAAGACTATGTTTCTAATTAGATCTTTCTCAGGCGTTACTACCGCTGAATTAACAACATCGCCAAGCTAAGAAAAGACAAAACGCTAAGTAAGCCAAGTAGATCAGCAGATGTAGTAATGGGATAGAATATCTTATGATTAATCGTGAAATGGCAGGAGTTAGAGTTCATGGACCACTGGATTCTAACTCAGTGTCTGAATGGTCAAACAAGCTCGCCTCGAAAACCAAAGGCCATGGGGTTCGATCCACGGTGGCATCACGGGTACGTACTGCTTAAGATTCCCAAAGTAGAACAAAACAACCGTCCAGTACTTCATAGTTTTTAATGGTTGTCTAACTGATATCAATCCAGGATCAACCTTGAAATCAGTCAAATCCCTGTAAACCAACACTGGAATTATTGTCGTAATAAATAACTTATCGGTGAAACAATGCAATTCAGTCAATCGTAATGCTTTTTCAGTAGATAAAAACCAACCACAATCATAAAATTACTATCAAATAGTAATTTAACTTTACTGAGTCTTAAAACTAACTTGATACCTTGTTTTAAAGTGAGAGGTATACCCACGCACACACACACACACACACACACACAATGGAAGTCGATGATGACTAACACTAACCAAACTAATTAATAACACTATGAACTTTCTCAACCCAATAACGAGAGTTTTCAAAGTGTTCAGAAACGATCAAAACGGTTCAATTGGGAAAAATACATATATTCTAATCCACAAATTAGATAGCATATTATCTACTTACATAAATATCCTGTAAAAATTATCCATTATCTAACTATACTACTAGTGAGTAGTTGTTAATGTTCTAATGACATCTTAATTCAAACATTTTTTATTTAACATATTGATTAAATCAATTACTTGGCTTATAAGCACTTAACCATTTTATAGGCTATTCTTGTTGATATACGCTGAAAAGGATTTCCATATCTTCTTTAAAAATTACTGAAATCAAGAGTGTATAAGTTAGACTACAAGAAGCAAAAATAAACCAAGATAAATCTACTTCGATGAGTAAGAATAACCTGATAGGCAGTAAGATGCTGGTGAACAGTGTTGAGTTACTGACAACTGGCAAGTACCTTACTATTATTATTCCCTTGTGTGTGTGTGTGTAAAATAGTGATTTTAAGATTCAAATCTGGGACGGGTAACCCACACAAAAGAGTAGGGAAACTAAGAAAAACAAAACAGATAGCTTCATCTACCTGAAAGTCACACGGTTGATCGACACACAGACACTACTGCAATTATATATATATATATGCTTATAAACACGGTAGGTGTATTTTAGATGTCACTATTGTCTTACATCACAATATTGTCACTAGTTTAGACAGAGGTGCCAAATATGTTCGGTGTACCTTCCTTGATTACACACATCTGCCTTCAATTTTGTACCTAGATCAGTTTGTTAAACAAGCTTGCTGCGACACAAACGGGGTACTCGATTAATAAATGGTTGCACTCTTACTTTACTGATAAGAAACAGTTTACTCTGTTAGTTGGGAAGTCTTCCACTGCTTTACTTACTCGAGTCGGTAATCCTCAAGGTGCTGGTACTCCTACTTTTCTATTTGCTTTCTTCTGACACGACTTGCCTCACTCTGAAGTAGCCAATTTTGTTTTGACTGTTTCTATTGTCGGTTAGCTCTTAATCAGATTGTTCCAAAAAGAACAACTTTTTATCAGAAACTAGTCAGTGGACCTTTTCAAATGGTCTTAAGCTAAATCCCTCTAAATGTGAGGTTGTTAATTTCACTTTCAGATGCAAGTTCGATTTACATGAACTAGTTCGTTCTAGTGATTACAAATGGTATTGAAGTCGAAATTAAGTCGAATGTTAAATACCTTGGACTGTGTATTTTTTCTAATCTTTTCTGGTGTTCCCATATCATTTAGTTGCTAGAAAGATATTTCTTAACTTTCTACTTACAGAAGTTAAGACAATCTGGTATCACTCAGTCTCCACCCTGTAAGTTTGTTAATTCTTGTATTCTATCTATTCTTCTTTACTGCTGCCCCTTAACTTTCTTGGGCTAATTAAGAAAGACTTTGTTACACTACATAGGGTACTGAAAGCTGTCAATAGGGCTAGTGGGGTGTCGCTAAACCAGCTTGTTAATACTATTGTAGATAGACACTTGAACTTATGTAAGAAATTAGCAAATATCATCTTGTCGGACTCTGAATATTCTCTCTATATACAACTCTCTCCTTGTATAACATCAAGTAGGAAGTATATATAGAAGACTACATACTCGGATAACTAAGTATAAAAGCTCCAACATAAAAAAAGCTTGCAGCGAAGCAGTTACGCATCCAAATAGATCAGGACACTGAATCCCTATTTAAGGGGGAAATAACTAAAAGCGTATCTGAGATCGACAGCAAGACTCTTCCTGAAGAAGCCTGGCACAATATATGGTTAGCAGTAGACACAGGTGTAGAGGCTGTTAATAACCTAAAACCAAAAGTTAGTAAGCACTAGTGGATTTCTACCACTTCATCCGAACTGATTAACGCAAAAAGACTGATTCTGGTGAGCTCCGAACATGATGAGGAGCGAAAGCTACTTAAACGCAAACTAACAAGAAGTCTTCGGGACAAAAGCGGAAGAGATCGAAAAGACATCAGCAATAAGTAACACCAGACAGCTATTTAGGCTTATCAGAGAAACAGGTGGCAAACAATCTCTGAGAAAATGGCACCATAATTAGCTCTCAGGGTAGACGACTGGAACGCTGGAAAGAACACTTTGAGTAGCAATTTAATTGATATACAGCCACACTCAACTTACCCAGCATCTAACACATCCCTGAATGAGATATAAAACAGGTCCTCCCTCCCTAAATAAGGTTAAAAAAGCTGTCTGTAATCTGAAACAGGTCAAAGCAGCGGGACCTGACGTTATGACTCCAGAAATGTTTAAGGACGGTGAAGACAGTTTACTGTCTGTGTTAACTGAGGTCCTAGGAAGAGTCTGGGAATCAGAGGAAGTCCCATTGGGTTGGTGTAAGTTATTGATTATCCCCGTATACAAAAAGGGAGACAAGTCTTCCTGTGATAATCACAGAGGGATTAGTTTGACTAAATGGTATCTAATGTTCTAGGCTCAATA